CCGATGCCAGAGTCCTCGATGGTCAAAGTCGAGTTGGTCTTGTCCGGGACAATCTTGATGAAAAAGTTTGGCTGGGCCTCACAAACAAAAGGCCACGATGGCCTTTAATGTTTAATGAAGGAACTCAACAAGCAACAAAAGTTAAAGACAAATCAGGAAATAGATGGAAATAGTTTGAATGTCAGGGAGGACAAGTTGAATTGACAAGGAACCAAGGAAAAACTGCTCGATTCTAACTCTAACCAAAACGGAATCCGAAAGGACATAAAATGAAATGATAATATTCAGAAATCCCAATGTGGCTTTCAACATATTTCAACAAGGTACGCATGACTATGGCATTGAGGAACCTTTATTTAGTGGCGACCAGTGTTGGCATGAAAGCAGCAGCCAACTGTGCAAACCAGAAGGTGTTACACTGTTACAAGCGAGAGCCCGAGGCACATCATGTGCCCGAAAGGCAGTGCTTTGAAAAGGGCACATCACGCGTGTGAAAACCCGATGGCCACAGCTGTTTCAAGTCACCCTCGAAACGTGTCATCATTTCCGGCAAAAAAGACCTATGGTGGTGCTCGCAACATGTTGCTAGACGACGGATGGAATCCCATGTCCACAGCCTACCTTTGATATGTCCATGGTAGAATACCGTAGAATAAATAGCGGTACATTAGGTCCGCGAGACCTTCGCGAGGGACCCGGCAAATCCCGGCAATACATCTGCGGATGCAGGTTTTTGGGAGACCTTCAACGGCTAGCGCAGCATGCTGAAGAAGGTTGTCAAACTTACAAAATCGTGGAAAACATGACCGGCCCTGGCTCACGAAACTCCTGTGCGCCTCGATCTTGTCCGGATCGGTGATGGACTCGTAACGGATCTTGTCCAAGGCATCCGAGGCATTGGAGATCAACTCTCGAAGGAAGATCTCCTTATTGGAATAGAACCTGGGCATCAAGTGCGGCCCTATAAAATGAATCCGCAAAAAACAGCAAAGCATGAAAAAAATGAAACCATCTGAAATCATGACTAACCTGTAAAAGAATATAATCCGCAACCCTCGCGATCTGTAAACCGTGTACTCCGCTAAGCCGCTAATCCGTTTCAGGACGCCGGAAATTTGAACCAGGTGGAGTTTAGAGGCCCAGCCGTCCCAAACGCACGAGTTGCGGAGCGTTGATGGTCCGTTGACGGTGTGGCTTGGGCTCGGCTTGGGCAAATCGAGAACCCCAAAGTCGCTAGTTTGGACACCTTTTCGGGGTTCGGCTTCGGGCTCCAACATATGAACACCAAACCCCATGCATTGAGCAGTTGAGCGTCAAGGGTGGTGAATGTTCTTTCGGCTGTTTGTGCACAGCTGTCCAACTGCTCCCCAAAGTTGCTGGTTCCCAGCGCTTCTGCACCGGACTTCTCTACCAGGACATGAAACCCCAGGATGTGTTTATGTAGTGACTAGTGGTTGAGTCATGTTGTTTCTATTGTTTTGGGTTCTGCCTGGGCTCCTGCAAGAAACATCAAGATTCACGTTCGTGTCCAGTACGTAGCTGTTTACATCTGGAGGCTCTGTTGGGGGGTTCCGAGTTCCAATCCGTACATCCGCGTCTTCTATTACCGGGCAATCCCAAAGCTTCAATGGTTCATGGTTCCGATTGATGCCAAGGTCATCCAAAGGACGTGTTGATAATCAAACTCATCAACTGCTGGATGTCAGCATTGAAGGCGAAGGTCTCTGCCATGGCTGGGAGAGGCTCTCTAAACGAATTGGCGACTCAAAACTCGGAGCTGAAAACGGGCTCTGTGTAGCACAAAAAAGGTCACCATGATCCAAACAGGAGTCTAAAATGCGCTGTGAGAAGACTCAACTCAAAACGGTCTTTCCCTCGGTTATTCATGTGACTGGCGGTTCTTCGGAACGGGAATCCGTGGTCCATCTCAGGCCAACCACGAGATGGAAAATTCATGAAAATACTTTTAGGTAGACATCCGCAACTGCATTTGATCGCCAGACCATTGAAATATATTGAAATCCCCCATCTCAAAATAATTGAAAAAAGACAGGAGATGAAACGGGTCCATAGATCCACCCACTGATATGACAAGATAGGTTCCCAAATAGATGGAACCACCACTTCAAAATACATCTTCTTGGACTTGAGCACTTACTTCATACATCTTCATACGTTCCCTCTCGTTGTTGGGCATCCGATCTCAAGATCCGGCTCCATGCGTGATGTTCGGTGTCACCCCACAACGTCCGGTGTCACCCCATCCTCATCGATTCCCCATCCCATCCTCGCCGGAAAAAGAAAAAAAAACGACCGCACAGTCGATCGCCACCTTGTTGGCCCCCAAACTCGACAGCTCATTGTGGTAGTCCAAATATCGATCCCAAGCCATCATCGCAGACTGGGTGTGACGGAATGGGGGCTGCGACGACATCTTCCAGGTGTCCGATGTGTCCACCGGAATGGACCACGGGAAGATTCACAGAGAATTTCTGAGCTGCTTTCCGTTCGGAGCTGCTGCAAACTCTGCTAGATCCCTGCTATGAAAGTGTTTGTGTGTGGCAAACTGCTTGGTGATGTCGTGGTATTTATTGGCCCAACGTTTCAGAAGTGCCAAGACGGAGGGCAGTAAGCCTGATCTTGCAGGGGCACTCCTTCTGCGTGGTTCTTCTAAACGAATGTACAGAAGCAGTTGAATACTATTCTTGGATTTGGGTTGCTATACTGTTTGTTGCCCTCTGCACTTCAATACCTACAGTTCCATGGAGGTATTGAGCCGTGGCTTCTAGGCCCTCCCCAGCTGTGCGAACGTTTCACGCCGCGGGACGGCAGTACGGCCATCCCACTTGGCCCAAAGACATGGAGCATCCATGCCAGAATGATCGATGTATCTAGATCTATAAATATATAATATAATTATTATTGTATGTTATATTATATTAATTTATATTATATAATACTATATTAATATACATGTATACATTTTCGAATCAAAACATATCGAAGAACATCTCCACATGAGCCGTACTCTTTTCCTTTTTGCCGTCGGCCAAAACGCGGCCCCGAGTCCCCGCACCGACGTGGCGGCCAACCCATCTGAGAAGGTCACGGCCTCGGTCCCGGTGTGGACACCGGGTCGTTGGAGCGGCTCGTGCTGAAACGGCAGGAGATCTGGTGGGACCAGATGGAACTGCACAAAGGATTTGTTCCAAAGTAGTCAGACCATGTCAGACCGTCTTCTGGTAGGTCACTCTTGTTCTTCTCCTGAAGAGGGTGTCGTTCTTCTGCTCCCGACATGAAACGACCAGGGTATCTCTTAGAGCAGCACCGCCGATCTGAACCCCTTTGGTTGCCATCCGTCTCCTTCCGTCGAATCCATGCCCTGCTGATGGGGACCCGTGCGTTCCTGCCCCAAATCATTCTGGGAAGCTTTTGTATCCCCTTTTTGTGGTACGGCTCAATCCATCCCCCCGCCCTCAACGGAAGGTTTCCACGCGATTGACTGGTGATTCTCTTCCCTCCAACACCAAATGTGTGGTGTTCCAACCATCTTCAACCTCCCTTCGAGGGAAGGAAGGAACCTGAGAGCAGGGACGCCTCTGCTTGACACTTGGCCTTCTACAAAAGGTCTCGAGAGGCTTTTTCGGCTCGGTCCCTCCGGTGGCTCACCGGTGAGTGGACCGGTCAGTGCCGACTAGAGTCAGGTTCATACGGTAGTTACCTTGAAAGAGGATCCTCCCAGCAAAAAAAAACACATTGAATTCATCAATGACTTACACTGTGTAAGTGACGAAGTCTAAATGTCATGATTGAGAATCATGAAACGCCACTCAGTGATTTTTGCAGTTCTACATGGAGAGCTGATGCAAATCAAATTTCAATCAAAACACCAGCGTTATTTGGAACACCAGTAAGGTATGTGCTCACCAGGCAAAACCAAGGACACATGCATCGGTGTGAGACACGCATCTTCCAAGGACGCCAAGAACTCGCCAAGAACTGCACACTGCACTGCAGTGAAGGAAAGCAAAGATGAACCAAGCACGCTCGAAACTGGTCATGCAACAAGTTCTCAACATGGAGCTGCCCTCAGTATGAGCATGTGTGTTTGGCCTAATCACAAGCAGTCAGGAATTGGACATGGTTTTGCTCCTCCCAGGGCAATGACAAACACTGTTGCAAGAGGCAAAGTAGAGCTCATTCCATCATATTCCATCAATCAAGCAGGCTCAGGACCTCAACATGCAATTACCCTCAGTATGAGCATGTGCGTGCGTGGTTCACTCACAAACACATCAGAAATTGGACATGGTTCATATCCTCCCAGGGCACTCAGGGCACAAATCCAGCCAATCACGGATGAATTTATGAATGACAGGTGCAGAGCTCACTCGACTCCAACACGGCAGATTTGAAAAACACATAAAGAAACGCCAGAAATTCAGCGAGCACACTCAAGACTCAGACTCTTCATCCAACGACTCCTCAACCTGCAAGACACCCTCAGTATGAGCATGTGTGTGTGTATTTAGTTTGTCACTCACAAACTTCTCAGGAATTGGACATGGTTTTCATCCTCCCAGGGCATCAATCCGAAATCAACCATCCTGCTTGAACAAGTCGCCAACCCCTAGGGAAGGAATTGCCAGCGAGGAGCAGCACAAACGACAAGACTCTACAAACCCTCTGAGTTCAGTGCTCCTCGGTCCTTGTCCGGCTTTTCAGGATGTGACACATTGACACACATCCAATGTTTTACGACATTGTGCGTCCGAGTCCCTAGTTAGGACGTTTATCATTGGCGAGAAGGCAGAACGTTCTCTGATCGGTCAAATTCCAACCTGCCCCTGGCACAAGTTCCCACCAGGCGAGCGCGGCCAGGGCTCCGGCGATCTTGAAGCCAAGCTTCAAGGCAACCACCCGGTTGGCAGCATCCCTGTACGTTGCGCATGTACGGTCCTTCTCTGGCAGTGTCTCAAAAGAGCCAAATTATGCCAAATTAATGATGGCTGTGGGGCTGGGATGGACTGGGCCTAGTGTCAGTGTCCCAAAGTAATGCAGCAAAAACCATGGTTTCATTGTCTGGCCAATCATCTGATGACTGATTGGTGACTTCCTCCAACCTCAGCCCGCCCCCCTTCACGCCAATCACTTCCGCGACCGCCAACGAGTCCGTGGCCAACCAGTGCCTCAAGACGAAGGTCTTGAAGCCCTGCCCTTCCGATTCCAAGAAGGTGTTCATGCTGGAGTGGAAGTTCCTGGCAGGATACCTCAAAATGACAAGTCAGAGACCGGTCAGTTGGTTGGTTGGTTGGTGGGTGGGTGGGTTGGTTGGTTGGTTGGCTGGTTGGTTCGTTCGTTCGCTTGTTTGTTCCTTCATTAGTTTGTTCATTGTTTTTTGTTTGTTTTTTCGTTCGCTCGTTTGTTTGATTGCTCCTCTTTTTGTGATTGTGTGCGTCCTTTCGTTCGATTGTGTGTTGTATTGTTCGTTCGTTTACGATTGCGTTTTTGTGCATTTGTTCGATTGCTTGTTCGTTTGTTTATCAACCAAACAACATGATCGACAAATTCAAATGAATTCAAATGCTTCATATAATATGCGCATCATTTCAGATGTATTCCACTCTGATTACCCAACTGTGGTCTTCACAGTCAATCATCACTTGTGGGGCGGGGGTCCAATACTGCTAAGCACTACTGGTTGGGGGCACCCCATGCAGGTGAAACCCCGGTCATGAGATGTCGTGAGCGTCTCTAGGGTCCTTCCTTGAGCCGCCTAGGGTCGGTGGCGAATGCTATCAACTCCTATCACCGTTGGTGGTTGAGAAACCAAACGTCTGTCGCCTGTCGCTCCACAAAAAACAAGAGACAACAATCTGTAGATATCTGTAGTCTCCAAGTTCCGAGTATTGCAAGTGACCGACGACCAATAGGTGGCCGGGGTGCCCCTTCTAGACTTCTTGTTGAACCGTGGTCATCCCTGGTCGAAAAAACGCTTGCTGCCTGCTTGGCTGGAGTGGATGAGTTTGCGCTGTACTGGCTGCCATGGAAAAAATGGATGGGACCACGACTTGTCTACGACTTGTCTGAACAGCATCGTCGATTGCTGCTCAGACTCAGAGGAAGACCAAAAAAGTTCTACTCATTTGCCCATCCCATCACCCAGCCGGATCTTGTCAATCTGCCATTCCTCCCATCTTCCCCTCCCATCTCCTCCCATCCCCCTCCAAGCTGTGTCTCCCAGACTCTAGATTTTGGCTCTTCAGCCAAATCTCGAAGGCCTTCCAGGCTTTAGTCTCAAGTGCGAAGAAAAAAAGCGACGCCAGCCGCCAGCTTGACCATGTGTGCCGTCCTAATGCCTCCATCTTTTCGGGATTGCCCGGTCTCGGTCTGCGGTGCCTCATTCCTCAGAACCTTGCAGTAACATGCAGCAACCCCAGCACCGTTCCGCGACCCAACTCCTGCGCAGGCCTCGATAAAGGAAGTTGTCGGAATCTTCTTGAGGTCCTGCGATGCCGAAAACAACGGTGCCGTGAAACGGCGCGAAAGGCTGGCCGGCACCTCTGTTTCAGTGGTCTGCGCGACTGGCTGACAGCGCCAGCGGAGAGATGGGGCACCAGTCAGTCAGAACTTGCAAAGACTGTACAAACGGGATCGGCCTGAGAACATGGCACAGTGAAAGATAGTAGAAGTATGTGGAAGCCAATTCTCAACATGCATTTGTCAAGGGGATTGTGCCGCTTCGCTATACTTTGAATCCACAGCAATTGTGGGGGAATGGATGGTTTACTTGCTAAATCTTAAGATCTTTCTATTGCTTACATTGGTGTCTCCGGTGTATCGAGGGTGTTTCGAAAGAACAGCTCACCACAAGCTTGTGAAAACATCCGAGCACTGTATCCGTCGCTGTTTCGGTCGGTCTCCGGTCAGCTGCGACGGTCGAGAGTCGTCTCGTCGAACGACGGTCGAGAAGTCTCAGCCGGTCGCCTCGGGCATGTTCTCTGCCAAGTCCATGATGGACCTCCGTGGGTGGAATGTGCAAAAGAATTGAAAAAGAAAAATAAACATCCTCCGAGTCGCAAACCTGAAGGTACAAAGGTAGAAAGGAAAATGACCGGATTCCTTTGTACAGCTATACAACCGGGAAAAACATACCTGAAACCAGCCTGAATCCCAAAATATCCGTGGCATTCCGTGAACTCGAGTTCCTCCTTTGTTTTTTCACTCTGCTCCCGGCCGCTGCGCCCACGGATCGGCAGGATCGAAGGTAGTATCCTCAGTTCAAAGGAAAGCAATTAGATGGGTGTGTCTCCAAGTGAACTGTGGTAGAAAAAGCAAAGGAACACCTTTCTCGGTGCAGCTGCAGCGAAATGCAGTGGTTTCCCGGAATTTGGCAGAACATTCAAAACCAAAGCCAATCCTTGCAACATCTTCTACCAAGAACTTGCAACTTACAGCTCAACCCCAAGCGCCAGGCCCAACTCCACAACTGCTCCTGCAGAAAGATCCAAGTTTGGTATATAGGTGGGTCAAACCTTCTGCACCACGTCTGTGGATGAACATCCATTTAGAAGCTATCTTGATGCTTCGCAAGGAGGTTAGATTGAGCCGATTTCATTCTGACTGAGCAGAAGTTTTGCTGGCAACTCCATGCAAAGGTGGGTCTTGATTATATGTGCAAGCAAGCACTTGGTTTTTGTATCAAGAACTCAAGGTACCGTCATAGCCTAATTGGGAAGAGCCGATGGTTCAAGAGTAGAGCAAAAGTACAGTAAGTCACTGTAGAGTAGAACAAGAAATCTAGCGAGCAGTACTAGATGAGCCTAGCATAGCCTAGCTGCCTAGCTGCCCTAGCTGATGAGCGGTTGGTTGGCTTTTAGGTCTTGCCTCCAAACCAATCCGTTCCCAAAGTTCCCAGGTCTTTCCCTTCTCAGCACTGGCAGTCCGTCTCTGTCTGCAGAAACAGATCGAAAGGACCCAGTTGCCGCACCTCCAAGCGGCCACCCCGCGAATCCATCCAAACCGCTCCGCCACGCTATGAATCCGTATGGCGCCCCCCCCAGAATCCAGTGCAACGAACCGACATGTTTCGGTACTGAGAGGGCGTGATGATAGCACGCTAATCAGGCTCCAAGGTCCGTCTGAGGGTCGGGTCGGCGTCTCTTTCCCTTCAAAACTTGTGCGTGTCTTTTTCTTTTTCGTGGGCTTTTGGCAGTGCCCACCTGTGGTTAGCACTCAGAGCGGACCCAAAGACGATGGTCGTGGATGGATTTGGTCTGATTTTGTCCATCATGTCCATAACAGGGAAGCGCTCCATCGCGAGAAACATGTCATGGGATGTCATGGATTCTGGGTCAACGACCAAACACCCCAGAGCTGGCAGGTGGTTGCTTCACCCAGCCGCAGGGGTGGGGGGGTGACTGGCCCTTTCTGATACAGCACTTTCGGAGCCATCACCTATTCACATCTGAATCTATTCACCCTTATCTTGACCTGTGGGGGGGACAAAAGAACCCGACAATCTCACAAGTTCTCCCGTGAACCCCGCCCTGATCTGTGGCGTCGTCATCTTTTGGGCACCTCCAAGCCCCAGACCACTTCCACCCACGAGGCCGGCGTCGCCTGGCACGCGGGCGGGGAGAGACGAAGCCGCCCCCCGTCCTTCCGCGCAGCCGAAGCTGGCGGGAACGACCTCCGAAGCACCCGAGAAGCTCGGCTTCGGCTCATTGGCTTCGGCTCCAGGAAAAGGCATTTTTGTTCAACCGGTTCGAAGAGGTGGAGCCAGTGGCAACCTCCAGTCTAAGGTGCGTCCGGTGGGATCATCGCTGCTGATTTCTTGCCATCACTCGATGTTGGAACCTCTGGAGTTTGCCTCAACCAGCGACATTCTGGCGAGACTACCTGCGCCTGACTGTACCATTCTTATTCAGTGCGCCTTCCTTGGGGCCACGTATTGCAGTGCGCCTTCCCCAGCACCCCACCAGTTTATGTGGTCCCCACCTGCAATCTCCGAGAGGGAGGACTGAACGTTGGGTCCTGAGACCAGGAGGCAGGCCATCGTCGGGTTCAAAGACTTACTCATTCCAGGGTTTTCCAGGTTCACTTCAAAGTCCGAGCAAATGTTCACGCACTTCATTCATCTCGAAATCATATCCCAACACATCCCAATCATGATTAAGAACTCGACCCAGCTGACAAAACCTGCCCCCCAAACGCCATGCGAACACATACCATCTGGCATACCGGGAGGCAGAAGGCAGAAGGATGGATAATGGATCCAAATAGTAGTACGGACATATATACATTTAAGGTCTTTCCTTGAAACTGCCCTGCTTTTCTGGGCGGCCATCGGTGTTTTCTCTCCTGCCCCAGGTCTTGGTCTTGCTCCAGCTCTTCCTCGGATGGGTCGAAGTTGAAGGGAAGTGGGCAACGGTGATATATTAACTCCTAATTACAAATACAGTAACTGTATAATTCGTGCGGAAAAAAGTTCCTCAGGAGGGCAGTCTTGCAAAGAAGCAAAGAAAACTGGAAATTGGGGAAGACTGACAACAAACCCACCCCCACGTGTTCACTGTTGTGAGGATTTTTTGAAAGAGTTCTTTTCCCAAACGGTCTGCTGTTGCTAGGCGATCAATGCTTGATACAACCCGCAGTACATCATCAAGAGAAAAAAGAATCCGGACACAAGTAAGCGCTGGGGTACAGCCTGAAACTCCAAGTCTTGGCTTCAAGAAGTCGACACAGTAGCTTTCTGATGGACCGTTTCATGCCCTGGTACCGCAAGCACCATCAACGTTTTGAAGATCAAACCTATCACTTGCTATCGAATCGACCTTCCTAGATTATATACAGTAAGCTCTCATATTGTCCGCAAACTCAATGTCCAGCACAAGTCGTTGGAGATTAATCAAAAAACCACAGAATCCGCCAAAGTGCTCTTGCGAGCTTTCTCAAAAAGAGTCTCAGAATTCGGTTGCTTTCGATCCAATGTGGAGACACCCCTGACATCCCCTGACCATGTATGTTCTTTCCAGTAACAACCCTTTCCGTCGCGCTGGTGACCGTGTTGTTGCAGTAATTTGCTTCTCTGTCCCCGCCTCCATCCCCCCCAGCGACCACCCCATCGTCACTGAGTCTTCGACCGGGTTGTCCAAGCGGCGGGTCGAGCCCTGGAAAAAGGCCGTCCATGAGGGGTCCAGGTGAGGGTCAACATATCTTCTTGTTTGCCCCTCACCTGCATGCACCTTCCAAAAGCTAGAATTTTGATGACAACTGATGATAGTTGCTTGTTATACTGTACTGGCAAGTTGTCTTCATTACATGTTGGAGTTTATTATATATATACATATATTGGGGTATTATTGGGGTCATGTCTGGAAGATTCTGGAAGGATGATGAATGTCCACCTTGTTGCGCTAGAAGGTCCATGCCCTCAGGGCCAGTTCTGAGAGGGGCTCCGGTTTCCACCTGGCCTTCTGCGACGCCGGGACCGAGGAACCCAGGGGGCAGCGTCTCGGGGAAACCAAACGCTTGTTTCATCATTTTTGAAGAGAGAGGTATAAGATTGTATAAGGGATAACAAATAGATGGCATGTTTGCCTCTGCATCAGTAGGCTCCCTCCTCATGCCATCAGCTCGTTATCTCCTACAGTATCCCATTCTCAACGCCACACCTCGGAGCATCCCACGACCGAACATTCGGTGCACCGCCACATGTGACCGGTCCGGTCGACCCACACCTCTGCCACGTCGACGCTGGACACCCAGGTGGATCCGCCCGGCCCCGCCGAGGCGTGGTAGACCTCAGCGGTTGGAAGTCCGCGGTTCAACGTGGGTGCAGGTGAGTCATTGGATTCTAGGCAAGGGGTGCTGTGTATATTATATATTGATATATTGATATATATATATATGCTAGCCCCCCCCCAAAAAAACCTATGTTTCTGAGTGCTGGTGTGCAGTTGGTAAGCATATTTGTTCATTTAACTATGTACTACAAAAATGTCCAACTCCATAAGGTTATGTGTTTACTAAACAGTTATTGGATGGAGTAATCTAATTCATTGCAACCCCCATGCAAAACCATATGTCTTGTTTTTAGGGTGTGAATTGTACTGCTCTTATTGAATGCAGTTGAGCAAGTACATCATAATCAGAAGGCAAAGAATTGCAAACCCTAAATAATTAAATTCCAGTTTAGTTCCAATTAAACTTAAATTCCAATCTATTCAACTCTACTCTACTTTGTATATTCAAATTCAATATCGGGTCTTTTTATTCATTTGTAAATTCTAGTTTGATTCAAAGGTCTATCACGACAGATTCTAATTTACTTGGGATTCAACGCAAGCCTAATTTTAAATTGATTTCAAGCTAACTCTAACTTCATTGCTATACAAGTCAGATTCAATTCTAATAGTGTATTCTTTTCAATCTAGTTTTAATTTGAGTGAAATTCTCATTTACTTCTAGAGAAGTGGTGTTACTTTGAACATGAAAGATTTTATGTAGTTTTTCCAATATGGAAGCATGTGCTTTCTTAAATGAATTAAATTCACCACCAGCAGCACCCACTCTCTAAAATGACTCCAAAACTGAATTTGAATTCCATGTGCATTGAACTAGAATCAAAATAGGATGAAATTAGACATATAGAAACCAAACCTAATTTGCAATGACAATAGAGTAAAATTAGATGTGTAAAACAATTGAATCTGAACCGTATAAAGGCATTATATAACATTAGAAAATTAATTACTAGTAAATTGGAAGAGTCAAAGTTACAATTGAATCCAAAATAGAATGAAATAGAACTAAATTAGAAGTAGGCTGGAATTAAGTTAGAGTTGAATGAAAAGCATTGAATGAAAAACATTAAAACATAATTAGAAGTAAAATAGAAATGAGTAAATTAGAATAAAAGCTGAATTAGAATTTGTCTATACAATGAAGTTAAGCTAAATAGACTTAAATTAGAGTTCAATTAGGCTCAACTTAGGCTTAAAGTAGAACTATGTTACATACTCAAATTAGAATCCATTTAAAGTTCAATTAGACTTCAATTAGACTCAACTTAGAAGTTTAAATAGAAATACACTTGATTTTAAATTGGAATAAGAATTGACTTAGAATTTAGTTAAATTGTATGTGCACTAAAATTCATAGAAGTAAATTGGAGTTGAATTAGTTGTTAATTAGAATTGAATGAGGAACACATGTCGGTAATCAGGAATATTCCAGGATCAAAAGGTATGTCACTACCAGAGAATGCCAGAGAATCCATTCCTTCCCAAGCCCAAGATCCAAGATCCAAGATTTGCACAGAAGTCTTGTGGAAAATCGTGGATTTGGGATTTGCCAGAACATCCTTATCACTGTATCAATCCAAGATTTTAGCCAGGAGTCTTGTGGGACTCTTGGATCTTGGATCTTGGTTTTGAACAAGAATGCATTCTGAATGCATTCCTTCCAAAGTTATTTAACATGCCGGAATTTAGAATCTCTGGACAAACAAGTTATGTAACCTACCTGCACAATATATATATATATATATACATGGTACCCCAAAAAACCAAGGTCCAAAAGGCCTCCAAAAATAGACACAAAATATTGCAAATACCAGCAAAAGTGAGGTGAACATTGGTTATTTTTGGGGGGGTACCATATATATATATATATATTGATATTGTAATGATCTGATATTGATTGATGATTGATTGATATGTTGTATGATGTTGTATGATATTGTATGATATTGTGGTATCTTGCTGTATGATCCAATTATGTTTTTTTGAAAAAATGGCTATCAGCTCCCTGTCAGGTACCTCTCAGCCCTGGCCTCTCGCTTCTGAGCCGACCAAGTGGTGCATGGCTGGATTCCGTCACCTCGACACGGACGCGATCCGATTCCGAAATGAATCCAACTAAGTCGGGTCTGAAGAGCTTCGAATAACGAGTTTGCAGAAACACTCCTGAGGAAACACACGGAGGTCAAATGGACTCCCAGATGGAAGTGGAGTTTAACCCCCTGGTTTTGGGTCTTTGAATGTCTTTGAATGGTCTTATTGACTCGTTCAGTCGTCTGGCCCGATCGCTTTCGTCACCGTCGCATGCCGTCGCTTTCCTGGGCGCTCCCAGCAGAAGCACTGCTGACGCACCACGGTCTCGGGGAGAGTCGAATCCGCCTCAGTCGGACCGTCGCGGGCCGAAGGTGGGCTCGGAAGGTGGGCCGAAGGTGTCTCGGTGGTGTGTGGATCTTGCGACTCTATTCATTCCACGGATCACGGAAACGGCATTGGGCTTGAATTCAGGAGTCCAAGTGGCTTTCCAAAGCATTTATTCACAACCGGACCAATACGTCATCTTCAGATGCCAACGAAATGGATCCAAATGGTTAAAAAGTGTGCCTTGTTTGCCAGTTTCACTACATGCGAACCCAGACTGCTGACCCTTAAATGCAGTCTCACATAGTCTCACACTTGCTTTGTCAACCACCTTGCCAGCCAAGTCACAAGCTGGTTCCCAACAGGAACAGTCTTCACCTCAGCAACTTAAGATCGGAAAAAGTCTGCTTGGGGTAAATATGCACCCGAGTTGAGGCAAGTTCACCTTGCGATTCAAAACTACAATCAGGATAGCCGCTCACAATCGTGTCAGGTTTGTATAAGTAGCGGGGATGTCACTCAAGTGTTGAAGTGAAGGTGAGAGAGGAGATTCCATGTGAGGGATGGTTGCAGGTGGCCATTCCCGAAAACAGACATGAGATAAAGGGGGGAATGTTAAGAATGTTGCTATATGTTGTTGACATTCTCAAAGTATTATGGCATAGGGTGAATATCCTGGACTCATTCCTTGAGACAGCTGTCAAGTCGGATGCAAAGATGACCAAGGCCCTCGCTGAAAACCTTGGCGCCTAAAAACGGTACGCAATGCTTGCAAAGGCACAAAGCGACAACTGTAGATGTGGAGACCACAAAAAATGAAGCAAAACTATGCAAAGCTGCAAGAAGCATCGGAAAATCATGGAAGTCTACCCCCAAAACACTCTCGGCTCAAATCCCGAAGAGTGTTTTTGGCAACCCCCTGCAAACACAAACACTGGGAATGAGCCAAGAGTCTTCAGAGAGGTGTCAGTGCAATGAAAATGGATTAAAAGGGCAAGAACGATTTTCATCCCGTGATCTTTCAGCACTAGCTGAAAGCTGGTGAGCTTGGGCTGGCCGCCCAGGTCTGTGTAGAATCAGTGCATCGAAGCTAGTCGAATGCACGCTTTCAGCGTGCGCAAGTTGCGCAAGCGGATGCAAAAACTGCACAATAATATCGAATTGTCGATGATGGTGCTGGCGCATCATCTTCAGGGCTTGAGAAGCGGGTCAGCATCTGTCTCTTTTACTGACCCGCACTTTCGCATTTAGAGCTCGTCATGAAAATCCTCCTCATCATCACCCACACCAGCACCGCCACCACCACCTCCGCCATAGTACTTCGACACAATGGGTGCGCAAATCCCTTCGACCTCCTTTTGCTTCTCCTTGATCTCCTCCACATCAGCTTCTGGATTGGAGTCAAGCCATGAACGCGCATCCTTCAAAGCATCCAGGATCGTCTCCTTCTCATCAGAGCTAATCTTTTCACTCAAGCCCTTGTTGTTGCCCGAGCCCTCCGCGGATGAACGCATGGAGTGGATGTAGCCATCGAAGGCATTCTTAGCGTCCACACGCTCTTTCACCTTCTTGTCCTCATCCGCAAACTCCTCTGCTTCCCGAATCATCTTCTGGATCTGCTCCTCGTTCAACCGACCCTGGTCGTTGGTGATGGTGATCTTCTCGCTCTTCCCTGTGCCCTTGTCTTCCGCGGCCACGTTCAAGATGCCATTGCTGTCGATCTCAAAGGTCACCTCGATCTGTGGCTGACCACTCGGGGCCGGAGGGATCCCGGAGAGCTCGAACTTGCCCAGCAAGTAGTTGTCCTTGGTCATGGGTCTCTCACCCTCGTAGATCTGGATGTTCACAGCTCGTTGGTTGTCCTGGTAGGTGGAGAAGATCTGCGACTTCTTAGTGGGGATCACAGTGTTGCGGCCAATGAGCTTGGTCATGACCCCTCCCACGGTCTCAATGCCCAAGGTCAATGGGGCAACATTCAACAGCACCATGTCATCTCCACCTTCACCGCTAAGGATTCCTGCCTGCACAGCTGCACCATAGGCCACTGCCTCGTCAGGGTTGACACCCCGGTTCGGCTCCTTGCCATTGAAGAAGTCCTTGATGAGCTGCTGGACCTTGGGAATACGTGTGGAGCCACCCACCAGCACGATCTCATCCACCTGGCTCTTCTTCAAACCCGAATCGTCCAGCACCTGCTTCACGGGTCCTAAGGTCTTCTTGAAGAGATCCGCATTGAGCTCCTCGAAGCGTGCGCGGGTCAAGGTTTCGGAGAAGTCCACTCCGTCGAACAAGGCCTCAATCTCCACTCGTGCCTGGCAGTGATGTGCCCTTGGGAGTAGAGGATAGTATATAGAGGGGTTGATTTGCTACCACATTGCCACAATTCATCACACACATATCTAGCTAGCTATTGGTTTTATTATGTTATATATTGTTTGTTCACGACCAAGGGGTCTCCCCTTCCCAATCATACATTAGCCAACCGGTCGGACGTAGGTTAGACCGGTCTGACCGTCTGACCGTCGTGCCTGGTGGGTGGAGCTCAAAGCTCGTTTGGTCTTCTCCACCTCCCGGCGCAACTTCTGGATTGCACGCTTGTCCTTGGACATGTCCTTGCCGTGCTTCTTCTGAAAGAGTTTCATGAAGTGCTGCATCACACGTTGGTCGAAGTCTTCGCCACCCAAATGGGTGTCACCACTGGTGGCCATGACCTCGAAAACACCCTGGTCGATGGTGAGAAGGGAGACATCGAAGGTGCCACCCCCCAGATCGAAAACCAGGATGTTCTTCTCAGTCTTCTGGTCCTTGTCCAACCCATAGGCGATGGCTGCGGCAGTCGGTTCGTTGATGATGCGCAAAACGTTCAAGCCCGCAATGGTGCCGGCATCCTTGGTAGACTGACGTTGAGCATCACTGAAGTAGGCTGGTACTGTGATGACTGCATGGTTCACCTCTTTGCCCAAGTAATTCTCTGCAGTCTCCTTCATCTTGGTCAGAACCATGGAAGAGACCTCCTCTGGAGCCATCACCTTGTCCTCACCCTTGACTTTCACACTGATCATTGGCTTGCCTGTCTTGTCCACCACGGAATAGGGCAGGAGTTTGATGTCTGCCTGCACAGTGGAATCTTTGAAGCGCCGCCCAATCAGGCGCTTCACATCAAACAAGGTCTGGCTCGGGTTGATGGTGGCCTGATTCTTGGCTGCTTCGCCTATGAGTCGCTCATCCTCCGTGAAGGCCACATAGGAGGGTGTGATGCGATTTCCCTGGTCATTCGGAATGATCTCCACCCGGCCGTTTTTGTAGATGCCCACACAACTATAAGTGGTGCCAAGATCGATGCCAATCACCGGACCATCAATCTTCTTCTCTTCCACCTTGGCAGCCACGCTGGTGGCCACCAAGAAGGCCAAAATGGTGGCCTTCCACAGCGCTGTCATGCCAAAAGGGGGTGACTTGCCGAAGTGCCCTGCGGATGTTTGAGTCAAAATGCTTGCAGGAGTCGAGCCTGGCTTCCCACATGGTGGAGAACCAAAAAAACGTGTCAGCATCCAATGAGTCGCCACTGCAGTGCAAATGAGTCGCGACTTCTTTGAAAGCTTTGGATGTCACTTTTCCATGGATTCCAACGGCCCTGCCGCCTGGAAGCTTCGCCAGGTGGCGAGGGTCCCACTTCGCCAATGCTGTTGGACCTGACAGGAACGACGAAGGGACGCAACGCGACACCATGGAGGTGCGACGAACGTCGTTGGCTCGGAGGATTCGGTTCATTGACCGTTCGGGTGGCCTGTCAGGCTGTCGATGTTGATTGCTCTTGGAGGTCAAAGGCAGCCGGTCATCCCTCTGCCCGAGCTGGTGGAAAAAACAATCATGACATTCCTTTCCCACATATTTCCACCTCCTGCTTCGTGGTATGCCTTGCACGGTGCCCCACCACCCCTGGTGTTCTGGATCTTTTGCTGACCAACGGCCGCATGACATTCCTTTCCACATATGTCCACCTCCCGCTTCTTCGCTCTGAGGAGTCGACCAAAGGCGCCATGGCTGTGGCCTCCGTGAGAAGAAGAGCTTGGTCAACCCCACAGCCGCCCGACTCCCCAAATCGTTCTCCAAAATGCTGAGAGATGCTGAGGGCAACGAACCCCCCCCCCCGTGGCCCACAAACCTGGCTGCTCTATCTTCGGGCGTGGCCGCCATGCACGGGGGAAAATCCGCTTTCGCGAGGCGAACGAGCACTTCTTCTCACCGAAAAACGGTGACGAATGAGGCGTGGACCGAGATGGAGGATGGAGAGGAGCTCGTTTCCCAGGTATCACCTGGCGCGGAAGCGCTGCGTCGAGTCTGAGCGCATTGGCGTCTTCGGCTCGGAGGTGATGGCGGTGTTGGGATGCGGTTTTTTATGTGCGTGACCAGTCCATCGCGCAAAGGCAAAAGTGCGGCAAAAGGCTACACAGACTTCACAAGACTCAGACTGTCCAGCCAGCTTGGAATGTTGTTTCACATCCAAAGTATGAGTCAAGTATCAAGCAGCAGTCCAGCCTTCTCCAGAGCTGCTGTAAGAATAGAAGCGCTCTTGCCCCACGCCTCGACGTGCGCAACAAAAACAGTGCACCAGCACTCTGACAGTACGCCCATCTTCCGCGTTGTCGAGACGCCATGTCTGACCACTCTCCATGATCAAGCATGCTCTTGGACAGCAGCAAATAAATTGTATTTCAAGCATGCTCCAAGCTGTTTTGCAAGTTGCATCAAGCTACTCACCAGTCTTCGCTTCTGTATGAATACCTCAAAAGGTTGCAATCTTCGGCGGGCCAGCGCCTACTGGCGCGAGCATCTCCATAAAGAGAGACTCCAAGTAGGGCCTGGAGAGAACACTGGAAGAGGATGGAACAGGATGTTCTGTGCCTTAAATGGTGGATGATGATTGCTCTTATTTGATGCCATTACTTGTTTTTGTTGCCATTCTTATACCGATAGGTAAGAAACAAAGGGAAACAAAGGGACCAGGCAGGCGTATAGCTTTACTGACCAGTGGCGCCAGTGGACAAAGCCCCATGCATCGTTTGTCAAAAGGGTATGGAAAAGCGGTTTTCTCTTGGAGCGGGGGAGTGGAAGCACCAGTTGTTTGACTGGCCACTGCACTACCTCAGTCAGTCAGGCTATATAGGCATTGCAATGCGTTGCATGTTTTCAGATTTGTCCTGCGAAGTGCAGTGGCAAACTGGGTAGTAGCCCTCAATTATATCTGATGATATCTGAAGATGCAAAGAACAGTTGGCTCGTGGTAGGCTTGACAAAAACATGTTTTGGGGTCAGGTTCGGTTCGTCTGTTCGTTTGACACTGGTTATACATGGTTATACCAACTCTTGATCATGAAACAATCACCATCCTGAGGACTCCGACCCCAAAGCAGGCCAGGCATCCTGCGATCCGGCGAGCGGACGATCAACTGACTGGGGAGAACCCCCCAACCAATTGGTTTGAGTTTGAGGCATTCCCCCTTTTCACGGTGCTCAAGATATGCCTACCTTTAGCATCCCTCAATGTGGATTTGTTTTCTTTATATAGATGTGGAACAGGGTTCCTCGTCCGCACAAGACAAATCGAACCCGTGCCAACATGTGCCTCCATGAGGCAACTGAAAATTACACTGCTTGGAGTCTTCGTGTATGAGATGGGTACAGAAATTACAAGACATGCTTTATGCATCTTTATGCTTTCCCTATCAACTCCACAGCTTCTACTCCAAGGTTCCAGGTGAATGATATAGCAGTTGAAACGCAAGGTGTGTGTCTCACGGAATAACATCCCCAAGCAGACTCTCGCAGCAAACATAATGACCAAGACAAGGTACTGACAACATCTCAAGGCCTGGAAAGCCTAGAGGATGAACAGCCATGTCAATGTGTAGCAACATGCAACATGCATGTATCTCTCCATGCAAGATAAGGAGCCATACATTTTCAGTGGGGATTTACTTTTCTATCTATTGGATCTATTTGGGGGTCTGTATAGATCAACCAGCAACCTCACGCTTTGGAGGGTCAACCATCGTCCACGTGGACCACGGTCCGACCGGTCTCCCACGGCCCGAACGGCGAGGAACGCGTCACGAGTGCCGAGGTCGCTCCTGGTCAAAGCCCACGATCGTGGTCTCAAACCTCGAAATGCCTCGATCCGCCCGTGGTCTTCAGTTGGAAAAAAGGGGATCGGCATCGGTCGGCATGCCGATCCAAAGCATGGGCATGACATGACATTGAGGGTGGGAGGGCTGTGAAAAACAGCTGTGAAAAAGCACTTCGCGGATCACCATTAAAACGTCTTTGGATTCAAGAGTCAAAGATTGTCAGAAGCTATCGGGACTGCTTCAAGCATGTTCATGTCTGGAAGAACCCATCGCATCACATTGTCACTTTCTATGACACTTGTGGTCTGCATAATGAAATTATGAAACAACAAAAAAAGAACACTCAAAAACTCAAAATAATACTATAAAACCGCTGGTATCACGTAGTAGCACATCGTATCGCAAGTTTTGCCACGCCATGTTCATCCACGTTCCATTTCGCCCAGCTCATCGTCTTCGCCGCCACAGCCTGCTGCATTGGAAGCAGAGTAGGTCTGAGCCTCAGCGGTCCCGCAGCGGTCTGAGCCAGCTCGGTCGGTCTCCACCGGAAGACTTTTAGGTCGACTGTCAGCAGGTCGAGCTGGGCGCGGATTGGAAGAAAGGAGAGAAAACACGCGTTTTTTAAATAAATGAGCACAGTTAAAAAAAGATGGCCTGTCGGTAAGCAATGTCAAGGCCGTTGAAGAAGCAAGGAGTGTGGAAATAATCCAACACTTCGTTTTGCATAATTTTTCCGACATGTGAAGGCCATCTTGGGATCCCAAACGTCGTTGCTCTGGTAGCAATCGCAACGACCTGTCGGTGTGAGACGCCACCATCGGACACCGGAGAGTGTGAAGAATGCTGGAAGAGAGTTCCGAAGCAAACTGAGGAAGGAACATAAGGAACACATTATGTTGAATCATATATCGTGTGTGTATCAAATATTCTGAATCAATGAGAATACAACAAACACCATGACAAATTGGTCTCCCGGTCCGTGTCTGATTCTTCGGTGGTCCACTTTTCCAAAAAAAAGACCGGGATGGCCGCTTGAATTGGGTCTTGTCACCGAGATCTCAGAACGAACCCACGGCCCGTGAGGCATCATGACGCCCAGTGACTCGACCGTGAACTGGGCGCCATGGTTTCTCCTCCTCCACTCGCGACGTCTCATCCGCCACGGTGCCACCACGCGTGTCACCCACTCCCCGGACCGTTGTCGCGTCCCCTCGGCGCGCCTGGCTCTGACTTGGAGACATTGGGAGCTGCATCCACCTGGCACCAGCTGGCCAGACCTTAGGCCGGAGACGCAAGGCGGCTGGTTTCTCTCGAAGGGAAACCCACTTGACAGTTGCATAAGCACAGAAAGCAAGGGACCTATTTGTGGTTCTTGCCTCAATTGAAGCAATCCAACCCGACTTAGTGTGAGCGCCTGGATTCACTCTCTTTTTCTTGCGGTCGTCAACAACAAGCTTCCTTAGAAGTGGTGTATATATAGTTACATGGAAAAATAATAAACATTTACAAACATTTACAGGTAAAAAAGAACATCCAGCACGGGCTGTATGGCATGATCCACGACATGAGCTACGAAGCTATGAAAAGCTTGGCGGACTGAAAGCTTGGCTTCTCAAAGTTCGACATGGTTCATGCTGGGCGGCCCAGCAGTATCCTTCAAATCCACAGGATGTGCCACATTGATTTCGCATGGCTCCCTCAGGGTCGAGTTCATCCATGTTTCTGAGCCCACCCACCCCGAGAAAATCGGAAAACCCACTGAACGAAGAACCAACTGGCCAGATCTGGTCACAGGTTGGTTGAGCTGGTTGTTTTCCGAGTTCATGAGCGAATGGAGTCAACTTTCCTGGGCCCGTCCCCAAGGAACTGTAGCCTACAATCCAAGTTTGACACTCCCGCGCGTAAATTCCTCTCCAGAAAACAAACATGGACCTGGGTCGAAGGGCACCCTGAAAGACTCCTTTTCTACAAACTATAGTAGTTTTCAGGGTTCATGCCATGCTGTGACAATAGCCTCAGATATGAGGCCTTTGCCTTGATATGGATGTAATGCTGGTTCTACTGGTTCATGCCAGTCTTCCACAGGGTAAGCCACAATCCAATCCGGATTCGATCATGGGCCGTTTCTTCATCCTTTTCTTGGGCCCCGTAGAAGACGGTTTCAGCTTGGACAGTCGTGTCACTTGTGCAACGTGGAGAGTCTCCACGTTCAAGAGTCACAAGTGAAGGGACCACGTGAGAGTCGCACCCGACCTGGAGTTTCTTTCAGCACCAAACACAAAAAGGAAAGCATAGTGCCTCGAACTCATTGTTGCAGTAGTTCAGAGATATGAAGCTTCCGCAACCTGCAGTAGACCCGGACCAAACAACTGCAAGCTTCGGAAAAAGCATGGAAACAATGCATTGATTGTCCACCTGGAGTGCTCCGTGCACTTGTTATTCACTGGAAAGCCCCTCCTAATGCCTCTGTCACATTCTTTCACCGTGTTTCACGCGAGCAGCTGATCAAGCCTTCGCTTCGCAGCATCAGTCCCAAATCCGTGTCTACAAATTGTCAATGACTGATCTTTCAATGACCATCTTTTCGCCTGAAAGTGTGTCTGGTTTGTTGGAGAACTGCTCGGCTGCGACATCGCAGATGTAGGCCTGGGGAGCGATCGAACGAGCCTGGGAGAGCCTCGTAAGGCCAAAGACACAGGCGCCATCCCTGTGTGGTCTGCGGTGGTACCGTGTGGTACCATGTGGTACCCGTACTTGGAGAAACTTGACATGATCTAACCCTCAAGACTTCTCAAGGGCGCAAAATGTCCAATCCAATGGAAGAAATATGGTCCACCTCACCCCGGTGAGTCAGCAATTCCTGGTCCACCCGAGTCCACCGGTGCACACCGATCGAGAAACACGTCCGCTCTTCGGGTGCCAAAAGGCAGCGTCCAAGGCAGAGGTGGCGGCGATGCCCGCCTCAGCCGGAACCAGCCGGGCCGATAGAGCCAGGAAGAGTACCTTGATGTCCTTGTCACTAGTAGCTTCTTGAGAAAGGGCATGGTTTTTTTCCAACCCGTTTTGGGTTCTATTCTGACTGTTTGGAGTAGGGCTTCTTGCTACTAGTAGTCATGCCCTTGTTACTAGTAGCGATGCACTTGTTACTAGTGGCAAATAGGAGGAACCAAGGAGAGATTTCAGGGATCTGGGCAGGGCAATCATAGTCAATCCCTCGTGGCACGGAGTTGAAGCGGTGGAAAACATGGAAAAAATGGACAACAAAATGTTGTACAAACCTCTCCGAAGGTGGTTCGGCCAGTGGCCTTGATAGAAGGGCCACTCATCTGTTTTATCGATGGTCCGCAATCCACCAGTCAACTGGACATCTGAAGATAATGACGTGAAACTGTGTGAAACTGGCACATGATGCGATCCGGTGATCCGATCCTCTGTGATATGCCCAGAGGATCCACCCTTTTCGCACCAACTTCACGACCGCCGCACTGGTCCAAGCCTTAGCGGCCAAGGCACTGCGGACTTGAAGCGGCTTCTCACCTCCCTGCCCAGCACTTGGTTGTGACCTCAGTCACAAGTGGCTGAAATCGAGAAGAGCTCGGCGGACTGTTCACACCCGGCCCCAAGCCAAAAAAAAGATAGTCCTGTAGTGTGTGTGTCTCACACCTGAAAATGGAACATGTTTTACTATGTTTTACTATAATATCATGTTTAAAAAAGACAAACTTCAGATGAAGCGCGAAAAGTGTGCTTCACATTGTGCTTCACATGGTACATATTTCGGGCCACCTTTTCAGGCCTGCGCACGTCGGACTCGCGAGGGTGCGAGTCAAGGTGTGTACAATTCGTTTGGGTGTCAAACGATGAGAAGGAAGAAAATGATCGAAAGTTGAAATAGAAGGAAGAAAGGTCATGAAGTCAGGAAGAGTCTAAAGAAAGAAGTCTAATTTACGTAATTTATTACTATTACTATTACTATTACTGTACTCACTACTAGTTTAAAATCTATGTAACATAGATTTTAAACTAGTAGTGAGTACAGTAACAAATTTTGTCCGCCTATATGTCTTCCTACCAGGAACCTCCATACAGTAGTCCGCTAGTCCGCCATGGCGGGAACATGCGGGAACTCTTTGAACAATAAGGTCCAGGGTGAAAAAATGGAAGAATGATGGAATCCATGGGCAAAAATATGTTTGGGAGTGGTTTTTAACCAGTTTGTTTTTGCCTGAAAGCCTTTGTTGCTGGCCTGGCCTAGGTGCCGCTGGGCCTAGCCTGACTGGCACCCCGGACTGGCTGGGAAGATCACTGGCATCGAGCCATCCACCTGGCGCTGGGTCATCCACGGTGGTTTCTGGTGTGACCGTAGATCCGAGACTGCACGAGGTCAACCGGTGGTTTCTGGTGTCTCCCGACCGGTTTTTCTGGGGTGCGGAGATGGATTCAATATGATTCAAGACAGCATGCACAGAAGATGAGAAAAACAAAAACAACTTTCAGGGTCCGAAACCATCCCAAAATGAAACCTTAAGAACTATATACATAGAACTGCTGGATGCCACTGGAATTTAATAGTGGGTGTCTGTGTTGTCTTTCCAAGCTGGGAGAGACTTCCCCGTTTCTTCGCGACACCTGCAGGGATCTACTGCACAAAGAGCAAGCTTTGTGGGGCTCACACAGATTGAAGCACTGTCAGGGAAAAAGAAAACATCCACAACGCAGCAAGTGGACAATAAGTTATGTGTATAATATATATATATAAGTTTGAATACGATTTTATAAGTAATAAAAAAATATAGCGCACGCATGCGCGCGCCCTTTCACTTGGAGTCCATCCATGCCGTATGCAAGACTTCAAGAAGCCATAGCCGTCGTCCTGCACATCTAAAGACGAGACGTTTGTTCGTGCCTGCAGGCTGGCGGCCACGCCCACCTGCGGGGAGGAGCTGCAATCTTGACAGGGTCTGGACGTCTGGAAATGGACGTATGATGTGGGATGATGTGGGTCCAAACTGAACTTTCACCAATGCATGCGATGCCAAAACCGGCGCAAGGCGCAAGGCACGTGACATGACGTGACTGTGCCAAGGCCAAGACTAAGCTGATGAGTGACAGGATGGCGAATCCAGCCAGCACCTGAGCAGCTGAAACACAGCGGATCGCCAAAGATCCGTGTGGCCGGTCCGTGACGTTTCGGGTCTGAGGCCATTGGGGCAGGCTGCAGCGCGGCAGGCCATCGGGTCGGCCATATGAGGCCCTTGCCCATTTCTTGTAGTTCGAGATGAATTCGCACCTTGGACTTCCACCCAGGTCTCTTTTTCAGTGGCGAGCTCGCGAAATGACGGTTTTTTCAGTGGTTGTGTCTCAAAATCTGGATGCTCTCCCATGGGTGTCCCGTGACACACGAACAGCTCCGCTTCTTGGATTTTGTGTATGACACTATGACACCCGTGAAATTCTCTGAGGCTCCTGCCAGGTGCTTGCAAAAAACCGCACGAGCCAGCTCCTGCAGTTTTACCCCACATGGCACTCAAGCATCGTGCCGAGAAATGCCTTTGATGCTTGGTCTCCTTCCCTTCAACTGGGCAGCAGGGTCGTAGCCGACCTGGAGAAATGCTTTCAGGTTCATGAAGTGGACACAAAAGTGTGCGAAAATGGACTTCGACAAAGAGCTCGAAAACTTCAGACACGAAAACTTGGATCAGAAAAACTCTGCATGTCGGCCCAAAATCTTCTCAGCAGCCGACCGAATCAGAAGGTGCCACCTGGGAGTCCCGTATCGCTGGCTGTACCTCAAGATGGAAGCCAGCTCAGCTCGAGGATAAGTAAGGTGGAACACGGTGGAACCCAATCCATAGCAACCAGCTGGTGCTTCCAGGGCCCACTTCTGAACAAGGGAATCTGGACTTGCGATCTGCCAATCGATCTGACCAACTCCTCGACCGGTGATGGCCGGTGCATGACCAGTCAGGAGCACTCAAGTTGTCGTGCCGAGTGACCCCTGTTTAGCTTCAAGGTTTTTGTGCCAAGTGCCCCACATTGGCCCCTATCAGCCCCCGTGTATGCAGCCCTGTCACCACCAGATCGGTCCAGGCAGACCCATCCTCTAGCTCTCTCTCCTGCAGAATCTGCGGATTTTCACGCAAAACCAAAAAGGACAAGGTGTGCCACCATGGGTTGGGCTTGGTTTTTCATCTCGACACCCGTCGATGAAAACTGCCAAGTCTGGAAAACATCGTCACTCCCATCTCCTGTTGCGCCAGTTGCTTCCGAAACTTCCTTCGGTCACGCGCCACCAAAGCCATGGGATACATCACCTCACCGCGCCCACGGCCCACCGTTCCTTCGAGGGAACACACATGGCGGGCCAAACCGTCACACCTGGACTTGGAGGGGTGGAGGACCATGCGACAAATTCGCCAAGCACAGTCCGAGCACTTCCCCAAAAACGCTGAAAGGGGGAAAGCCTTCCCCGAATAACCACCCGCACCACTCTGATGACAGCAGATTTACATAGATTTACCCTTTCTTCTCCGCCGAACTCGTGTGAGACCAGCCGTGGGATGTCTTCAGCTGAGCTCCCGTCCAGCTCCAAACAAATGGCCCAGATCACGCCTCGGGTGTGACGGTGTGGCGAACACAGTTCCCGATGACTTCAAAACAAAGCAGGGACGGGAGTCCAGTGCATACCGGCCATAGCGCCGGCCAAAATCCGCGTTGTGTTCTTTCTGAAATCCAAGGAGTGCAACGACCTTCACTGGCCAAATATGATAGATATGGCCAAATCCACACAACACTCTGGTGTGCCTCTGATGTCAACTTGGTTACCCTGGCAAAGGCCCATGAAGAGGCCAAACTCGCGCAGGGGCATCAAAACACTCATCAAGTTCACCAGAAAGCTACCTGAGTTCGCAACGCGACAGGAGTTGTGGCACGAAATGAAAGTTCTTTAAGTCATCTTTTGTTGGGTTCCGGGGCAGAAAGCATCCCAAAGTACTGTACGGCACGGTTTGGCGAATCTCTTCGCATGGAGTCGTTCCCTTTTCCCTGATGGTCCCTGCAGTCGCTCCTCCCGCTTCGGCGTTGTTATCGGCGCCCCGGCTCGCACCGCAAAGCCCGGTCGTGATGCAGGAGACCCCGGCATTGGAATAGACCTGGTGCATCCAGGTCGGTGCCTTCCACGCGACCAGTGGCGCAGGCTACTCACTACATCTCACTATACCAACTATATACAATATGCTCAGCAGTATTCAGCAGGTGGCAGTGCCGCACCCGCATCCGGCTAGGATGGTTCTCAGAAGGCCGTCTTATGTTGATCTGACCAGTGTACAGACCCTCACTGACTGCTCTACATTCCACATTCCATCTCTTCGCACCAAGAGGAATCAAGAGGACGGTCCGACCCCAAAGAGGCTCAGCTTCTGGCCCAGGCCAAGCGCTTCTGAAGGTACCTGGACGTCAGACGGTTGGCCAACATGTTTATTCGAGTCTGTTGGGCAACAAAGCATGAAGGAACACTGAGACCTCATGCAATACCACAGAGAGGATGAGTATGACTCTATGGCTGACCATATGTTTCATCATGTGTCATCATGTGTCTGACTGTTGACGCCTGGATTCGATTATATTCGATATCGATCCGATCTGTCCAGGCCATGCGCCTCTCATGTGCACGGCAGGCTCGATCAAACTTGTCTTCCTCCTCCTCTTCCGGCTCCTGAAAATCTACGCGGGTGGCAGTCCCTGGTCCGTCCGCATCCCCCGTCGGCCGTGTTTGCGTGTCTGTTCCATCTATCTGCGCGCCTCGGTTTTGAGGTCCTCGAGCAGCACCACCCGCGCCGATTGCCGCCAGGCATCCGTCAGGACAAAAATCATGTCAGAACCTCAGCGTTGCCATGCGGACAGGCGCAGGAAACGCCGACGAGTTTCAAGCATGATGGTGTCAAGTTGGGGAACCCAGCTGGTATGGAAAGCCGACGCTCTTAGCTATTAGGGGCGGGACCAACACGTTTCTGGAGCACTAGATTTGTCTTTTCGCGCTCTTTTTTCAACAATCTAGGATCTAGATGGATCTAGGATCCTCCTCAAGGTTACGTGCCAATAGATGGGTCGAGCCCATTCCTCCCATGTTCCTCCCAGTTCTGAACCGAAGGCGTCTGCAGAGCTCCATGGCTCTCCGGTACCGAGGCACCGATGCCGATGATCACAAAGGTGGACACGCAATTCACGATGCTCATTTCCTGCCGGAGAAAATGAGGTGGAGCATGGTGGAGCGGTTGTTTTTCAATTTTTCTTTAGAGCATGTGCAGAACAGTCGTTGAAATCCATGAACAACTCTTATATTGGATGTTTGTAATTCCACTGAACCATCCATTTGGGGGTTTGGTTGCAGCTCATCTCTGGTGGACCATCTAATCTGAATCTAGTGCTTCAAAATGCTTCAAGGCCGGTAATCCTCGTTTGTCCAAAATCGTCTGCATCGTTTTCCGGAGCACTTTCCCATTGCATGGTACTTCGACAAAACTTGAGAGAGGAGGGGGTGAACGAAAGGTAGCAGGCAATCACAAGTAACCCTGGTAGAAGTCCACGACGGCGTGAACCGGCGCAGGGGGGATTTGATCCAGGGGGGGGGGGGGCACGAACAGAATCAACTCTTACAGGACCAAATTCAATGCACAATCCCAACTCCTGATTGTAATACATTTTTGCTAAAGCAAGGAGAACTCAGGTAGCTCAAGCTACCTTTCGTGACAAGGTTTCTACCTGACCCGGCAGGTGACAACGCTTGTTGAGGCCGGCACTAAGAGGCCAGAAAACTGCTTGAAGAAGACATACCCCAGCGGCATACACCTGTGAATGACGTCACTGAGCTTTGTGAATTACCCAGTGGAGCCCATTCATCGTCCATGCACACTCGGCATGTACACAAGGTCGCGGCTCCACCACTAGCAAGGAGCCGATGCTTGCCAACCTTGGAGTTGCAGCAAAACGATAGCCGGCAAAAATAAACCATTACAGAAACCCCGCTCAAACTGGTCGATGCATGTTGATGTTTCTTTGATTTTTCTTCAGGTACACCCCTTCTTCCCGCTTCTCCTTCTTTCAGATTCTCAGCATTGTATCATCTTGGATCAGGTATCAACAAACAAAACAAAAGGCTCAAGATCCTTAACTGCACTGCACTCCCATCCCTTTTGCACCCCTCCAACCGATCAAACTTTTCTTCGCAAAAAAGGAAAGGCCCACCGAGGTGTTGGCTCGAGGCTCTGCGTATGAAGGCAAATCAAGAAGAAGATCGCCGCCAAGCCTGCGAACGGCACACGGCGCATGGGACAGGCCAACGCGGACAAAGCCGCAGGGGGATTTGGCCTTCGCCGGAAACGCCTGTAGCTAGCAAAAGCCCCACTGGCCACCACATCACTACTACCATCTACTACCCACCTTTGCGACTTCAGCTCCCAATGATTCGACTCTCCAGCCTAGGAGGGAGAGCAGGATGTCGGACAACAAGGCGCTGAAGAGATCAGCTTGATCCTGAGCAAAACGCTCCCGCGAGCTCCGAAGATCAGACCTCTAGTGCCACACGCCGACCAGCAGCTGGGGTGCCTCGGAAGCTCCTTTTCACGAACTCTGACCAGGGAAGACTGCTCAGCGCACGCTACAGCGCCATCGAAACCCTGGAAGACCCATCCCCTTCCAGCTGTGTTCCAAAAGAACTGGGAACTGAGCTGGGAGTAGTAGTTCCACTCCTTTTGGATCTGTATCTTTCGTCAAAAAGATGCCCAACCGGTCTGAATCCTGAGCTCCAAGCCAGTTGCCCTGACGTGTAGAACACCCGGATTCCGAGCTCCTGGTGAACGACCGTTCCGGCCGCCCACGGGGGTCGTCCCGGGACGTGGAATTTAGGTGAAGATCGATCCGCAATGGAGGACCTATAGGTCATCGACCCTAATGGGTCCTGGTGAAGTTCGACGTATGGTTTGTAATATTTTGTAATTATGGTGTGGATTGACGGAAGAGAAGGGCTGAGAAGAAACCATGCATGGAAAATTCTCGGATTGGACATGATTGGACTGTGGAAGTGGGGAGCCTAGGGTAGGCTCCGGGTCAATTTCTGCTCGCCCAAAATCCGATTTGTGGATGACTTCGCCGATCGGTGATCGCTGCGCTCGGACTCGGCCTGGAGCTGTGGCTGGTAGGTGTTGAGAAGGCCGTGCAAGTCCTCACGGGACGGACCGGGCCTGCGGAACGACAACGACGGGGAACCCCCGGGTCATGTCGGCCATGTTGAGTGTCGAAGGTGTGTTGCCAAATAAATGGGTTTCACAAGGTTTCACCGTTTTCAACATCAGTTGAGAGGCGGTTTACACTCGAAGTTTAATGAGTCAGGAAGAAGTTGCCGACTTCGGCATGCCAAATAAAACAAAGAACTGAAAAAAAATTGTTCTCTTTCTGTGGTGGGCGTGAACAGCTCAACGACAGCATCGAAGCAGTAACTGTTGGACTCCGGTCCCCTCCAAAGAACTGCTGCTTTGCATCATTCGCCGCCTCGGCAAGATTCGGCCAACAAACATCGCAAACAGAAAAGACCATTCATTGCAACAAATCGATGTATGCAGTTCTTCATAATTCTTCTGGACATTAGGCTAACATTTTGGCAGGGGTCGTGTTCATGGGGCGTAGTGAGCAACTCTGTGACGATGCCCAGCCTTTCCCCAGCCCTGTCCCGGAACCCCGTGAGACGCTTTCTTCGCCGAGCCGCGCCGAAGCTGCGGTAGTACCCATCGGCACCTCGGAGCAGAGCGAGCGCCACGATGGAACGAGACCGCGCGGGATGGTGGGACACGGACTTCTGGGGGCACAAAGCATATTATATAATATATATCCGCCGACCCCAGGGAACGCGTCAGAGAACTCTGCAGGATTCCGGCTGCGTGGATCGCTGAGAGTCAAGCACGGCTTCGGGAAGGGACCAGAAGAGGAGTTTATTGCTGTCAGAAAGCGACGTTTGGCAGTGAGCGTGGTTTGTGGCGACGTTTGGCAGTGAGAGAGCAGCTCCGAGGATGATTTTTGGGTGGTTTTTGGTGTGGAATTAGCTGGTGGAAAGGCGTGGCGAGACAGATTGCCGGAAGCCTGGGGATGGAGCCTTTGGAGCTCGATCCTGCCGTGGGAAAGCGTAGTTTGTGGGACTAACATCTGCGCAGGTCAGTCGCGCAGAAGCCTGTCAAGTCGCCTTCAAAAAAACGCTTCGTGCTCACCGTCAAACACGCATCGACACCGCCAACTTCGCTCCACGCAAAGTACGCGAACGTCTGGGCAGGGATGAATCCCAAGCAGATCCGTGGCCGGCGCTGTCACGAAGCTCCTACGAAGACTAGTTTGGGCCACGTGTTCTAGGCAAACTGCTACAGTGTTAACATAGCCCATGTCTATCGTTGCATGTCTCTTACCATGGTACAGTGCTGTCGTACGTGCCAAAATCCTCCTATCCAGGTATCCGACGCTCATCATTGAGTGTGCTTCATTGGCATTGTTCGAGAGAGCTCTATTTCCATCCGACACTTACCCCTGAAAATCAGGAAAAGACGACCAAGCCATTTCTCGTGTCTCATCACTCTTCTCCTCGAGACAAGGAGTTCCACGAACCCGAATGCGAACACGTTCTATATGCCAAAATGACACTCTTGTAAGACATTCTTGTGGGACACTCTTCTGGGACACTCTTGTGGGACACTCTTGCGCGCCACTCTTGTAGGACACTCTTGTGGGACACTCTTGTAGGGCACTCTTGTCTGTCACTCTTACAGGGCACTTTTGTAGGACACTCTTGTAAGACACTCTTACGTCACTCTTTCACGACACTCTTGTAGGACACTCCTTGGGGGACACTCTTATAGGACACTCTTGTGGGTCACTCTTCTGGGACCCTCTTGTCGGACATTCTTGTGGGACACTCTTGTGAGTCACTCTTGTGCGACACTCTTGTGGGACACTCTTACAGGACACTCTTGTGGGACACTCTTGTAGGACACTCTTGTAGAACACTCTTGTAGGACACTCTTGCGGGACACTCTTGTGGGTCACTCTTGTGTGACACTAGGACGCTCTTGTAGGGCATGGAGGTTCACAAAGTGCTGTGCCTCCCACAAACTCTGCACATGGAGGTTCTGCGCCTGTCACGAAAAGTGATAATATCATCTCATGTGACAATGTGAGCTTCAACAAAATGGGCACCACACCACACGTTTGGAATGCTTTCGACCCGTGCTGAGCACACTCCCATCCACCAAAATCGCACTTTCAACTGAGACTTGTCACGAACACAGAGCTTCGATGCCACGCCCTGAAACGCAAATCCCCATGGCACGGCCACATCCAACACCCCAAACACACGACTCTCCTAACGCTACTCCCAATGGAACTGCGCAACCAACTGCGGATCTCAGAAACCGTTGCGCCTGTGCAGCGAACTGCATCACGTTTCTTGCGCGCTATGTCATTTTCAAGGAAATCACAATGTAATAGCGGGATGCAGGCGTCCGGTTGCGGACGGTGGCGAAAATCGCCAAACTCTACGGACTCTACGGCATCAGGACTCCCCACCAGCGGAGGACAAACCAACGACAATGCCCCAGCAACCCTCCTTGCCAACATCCCACCCCACGTTATAACCTCTCTCTTTACTTGCGCAGCAGGCACTGTCAAGGAAACTCGTTGGGAAACCATCACCTCATACATCACGAGAAGATAGAACAAAGGCATGCATCCAAGTCCCATAAAACTTCAGATCGACATCAATTTCGTTCATCCGTGCGTGAAATCAGACCCTACACGCGACTGCGCGTCAGCACTTCGCTCTTTAGACTTCCGACTTCGGTGAGGTCACCTGGCTCCGGGGTGCCAGATCTCTTTCCGCAAACCCGGCGCGAAGCTTCCCCCACGTCTTGCAGCCATGTCACCATGGTCGAAATGTGGGGGCAAAGCACGGGCGGTATTGCGGCGGTGGGCTCGCCGGTGGCGGGCCGGGCACCACCGGCACCGGGACGGGCGCCATGGCCTTGGAGCCAGGCACACACACTTACTCCAGGCGCATCCTCCGAACTGCCCGTGCCACCCATTGCAATCAAAAGGCTTCCGCCGCACCCAGTCACAAATGAATACCCGAAGGTGCGCAATGTCCGCTTGAAGTCCAGGCTATATGCCTCTTGAAGCAATAACAAGTGAAATTTTCCTGCCAAATATGACTGCACTCTTGTCTCCTCCTGTATCCCTGCAGCGTCCAGACATCCAAAATTGGCGGTCAACAAGCTCGGCTGCCGGCTCGAGCGAGCATCATCTCCAGGGCGTTCGATGGCCCGATGTTCGACATGAAACGCCAGCGAACGCTGTTGCAGCCACTGGGGTTGTCGCTGAAGCAACGTTCCTGAACAACGTCCCACGGTGCCCGGCGCCAACGCCGTCAAGGCTCTCGCTTGCCAGAGACCGAAACGCGCCTATGCCGGGCCTCTCTTGCTGACTACTGCTACTGGGAACAAAGCTACGCAAGTGCTCCGGCCATTCACTCGGCTCCGACCTCAAACCACGCGGCTGCTTGCCCATGGCAGTAGCAATCGCAAGTACTGAGAAATAGTCAGTCGTCGTAAGTAGTCCTGCGGAATGGTAAGTAGTCCTAGTAAGTATTTGGATTCGTGTTTTGCTTCCTGCGTTGTTCTCCTTCTGCTCGCTAACCTTTTGGTTGCTCTTGTCATTCTGTCTTGCCAGTGTTCTGCATAATATCCCCTGTCCGTTTTAGTATTTGCGCAACTCGCGCTAAGCTGTCAAATCAGGAACTAGTGTGCTAACCTCTTCGTTACTGCTTCCCTTTTCACACATCACTCTGATTTGCAAGTCATTTCCCTGTCGCAATGAGCCGAAAATTGTTCGGATTCGGCCTCGGGGGGCATGCAAGCCGCTTCTGCTGGACAGTGCCACCACTGCGCGATCGATATGACAGTTGATGACTGCAACTACTGCTTTTCCACTACCAGCATCCACTTCCTCCGTAACTCTAACAAGTGATGACTGCTGCCACTCTTGTGCTTTCATTTTTGGGATATCCTGATAATATCTCTTCTATGCATCCTGGACTACCATGGTTGATGAACCCTACGCTTCACACTTCCCCTCCTCCAAGCCACTCCAGCGCGGCAGCAGGATGGAACCGCCGGCTGCAGCTTCGCAATCCTGGCACAAAGGTTGAACTTCTACACTCTTCTCACACATAATCAATGTTTCCGTTTCTTCCCACTTTCTTTTCGTTGTGCTCTGGGAATGCCAATTGCAAACTGGTGTCGGACGCTATGCCTTCTGGGGTTTGGTGAAATTTATATTTCCGGAATACAATCTACCACTCATATTCCATGCTATGTACAGCATCTGCGATCTCCTACACTCTCATTCCCTTCCAATTTGCAGGATTTGGCTGCTTCCAAATGCACCCCCTTCCCTGCTGCTTGAGCCCGAGGGCATCGCCGGTGTGCGAAGCCTATCAATATATATATAATATATATATATACACACAAAAGAAGGAAAGGAACAACAAAAAGAAACATGATTAACCCAAAAAAAATGATAGCAAGATATCAGATATAAGAGGATATAACAAGGGACCCCTTGTCAGAGAAGCCCATGAATTCTTTTTGTCCTCTCTTCTTCCTCTCTATGTTGTGTGCCGAAGACCCGTAAGGTGGGACCTATAGCTGCTGGTTTGTTCGGAAAATGGCTGTAGAAAGGAGCCGCCGGACTGACTCCTGCGCGGGCCGCGATATATTATGAGGTTTGCTTCGACGAACTGTCCCATCATGGCACAAACAAGAAACTTCCCATGACTTCTGATCTTGTAGTGCGTCGTGTGAGGGATGTGTGAGGAATTATTCTTTGATGTGTTTTCATCTTTAGCCCGCTCTCAGTCTATCACATCACAGTCTTCAGCTTCATCACAAAGCACAGCTTGGGAGACCGGACCAATGCTTTGGGTGAACAGGAAGAACGACCTGGGCAATCATTCGGGAGTTCACAAGCCACTGTAGCTGGTCAACTCGTTCTTGGGGACCGTCTCGGTCTGGGGCACCGACCGCAGGGTATCAGTGCTGGCTTTGGCTCCTCCCTCAGGAGGAACGAAGTCCTCCAAGTTCCACTCTTTCCAAAAGACTGTCCAACTCCACCAAGTTCTGAGTCGGGACCCGAAACCTCGGTACATGTCTGCTGAAGTGAGTCTTGGCGGCGAAAAAAAACGATCTAGGACCAAACCATCATTCCCCCCAAACATCTGCCGTACGTTCCTACTCGGCATGAGCGTACCATTCCAACAGAGGTGTTTCATGACACGAACCTTCGACGATCAGAGGAAGTACCCCAGGTGACGGGTCCTATTTACGGTCACTGGATACCTCTCTTGGTTCTTTCACCTTCGCACCCGTTCCCATCAGTTCCCATCAGCTCCTCTGGAAACAGGCGCTCCAACCTGCACCAAACGGTAGGAGACCGGCGTCGTGACCACCGGCAGCTCCGGTACCGGTATCATAGTCAACCCCAAAGATTGGGTGATGCCGGTAGCGCCTAGGCACTCGCCGGTGGGGCACCTTCTTGAACGTTCCAGTTGGGTGGGTCGGGCCTCATGTCCTTTTGCACCCTAGGGGTCTTTGTGGTTGATGCTCAAAGTCAGGAATCCCAAAAAGCACCAGCATCCTCAAAATAATCACTCCCAACCGCCTGCCATCTCCGGTCTCACCACTGGTCCGCGCGCCCCGCACCCACCAACATCCACCAACCACCTGCCAACTCCTCCGCACCCAGCACCCAGGCCTTTGGTGCTTCATGGGGACGTCCCAAAAGGACGCGATCGCCACTTCGACCGAGAAGCGCCGCGGGCCGCTGCCGTCCAAGTAGAGGCGTTGCTGCTCGCCCGGGCCTTGGTTCGGCGCCCACCGGGCACACCGGGCATCACCGGGTGGCGTGGGACCCGGTCGTTGACCCGGTCGTTTTCAAGAAAGGCTGGACGTGTCCAAACCGGATGTTCCAATGTGTCGAGGTCAGATTGAAGGACCTGAAGGGCGATGCCTTGAAAAAGGCTGTTGTGAGTTGTGAGGACGGTAGTGCACGATGGTGCGTGCCATGCTTGATGCTGTGCGGTTCAGGGCTTCAAGAGCAAATTGTCTTGGACTGTTTTCGTGCGCTATTCCATGGCAACAGGATGCAACAGGGGCCTCACTTCGAGACCCCAAAGATCGTAATGGACAGGTTGTGACGATTTAAGATGCTTCATCCCAATCCATGGGATGGTCCGCATACTTGATCATACTTGGTGGTTTCATGTGTTTCTCTGTGGGATGGTTGGGCTTGCCAACGCTGGGCTCGCCACCCACGGAGACTCCATCCAAGTCAGTGCCATTGGCACCATATCTCGGCCTCAACAAAGGGCTCCGAGCCGAAGAAAAGAAAAAGAAAAAGCATGAAGAAACCAACAGAGGCCTGGCTGCCGGTCGGTTTCGCCCGGTGTGCGGCAGTTGGCCCAGCTACAGCATCCCATCCCAACGTCCGAAGAACGGATGGCCCAGCTCGGTGGGAACTGTGGGAGTCGCATTGGAAGGAAAGTCTGCCTGCCAAGAACATGAGGCGGTCTTCTCTTTGGGCACTAGAGTGAAACAAAATGAAACAAGCGAAGGCGACTAAGAAGTTCGGTTCTTGGTGTCTGGGCCTTGTGGGTGGTATAACTATAAGGATACCAACTTGAGCTCCTGGCCATACGAAGTTCACGAAGGATTCTCCTGGTGAACAGCCTCAGAGTGTTCGAGGGAATTGTCCTTGTGGAGTAGTCAGTGCTAATTATAGTAGCATGATAAGAACTATTATGAATGAATAATAGAACAGTCTTGGAACTGTATCAAATGTGCCGAGTGTGTTGATTTGGAGAGAGCACCTTTGATTTGGAGAGTATTTGATGGCCTCGACAGAAGTACAAACGTGGCCTGTTGCCCGCTCCTTCATGGTGACACTCCAGTCCAGCATCAATTTGACACACTCTCCCAACATGCTCCAAAAGACCTGCTCTGAAAAAATAAAGGTGCCATTTGGCATCGGCCACACGAGGCACTCGATTAGTCACTAGACGGACCCTAACTGCGGCGTCTCGTCGCGCCCAAAGTTCTGCCCGAGAGGATGGCTGTATTGGGCCGGCGCCGAAAAGTTCTCCTGCACATCGACCAATTCATCGCGTCCATTGAGCGGTTCATACGGACGGAAGACTTAACGGTCGGTGAGTCCAACCGCTTCGCCGTTGCCCTCGGCCCTCGGCCGTTCGGTGTCGCACCGAACGGAAGAAGCCCCGTTCGGAACTCACCGGCCCCACTACATGGAGTATATGGACAAACCAATCAAAAGACTGTCACTATAGAGATGACTAGAGATGACGATCGAGTCTCTAGAGTATGAGCTTCTTGCGGTTGGATCATGAGTGGGTCGGCAGATTTGCTTCAGTTTTCGACTAACTATGACACCTCACGCCCACCTCCACTCCAGCGGTTGGCCCACGACGAGACAGCCCAACACCGAGGAACACCTGGCCTTCGGCGCCCAACGACCGGTACGTGCCCTTCAAATCGACCAACCGGCGCCCTCTTCGGGGAGAACGACCACCCGGCGCGTCGTGGTCTCCCGATGTCCCGGATGACCGCCTCGCGGATGACCGCCATGCCGCAGGCGGCCGTCCATGCCTCGCTGGCCTGAAGAAATCAACGACCGAAGCTGGCTTGGTTGGTGAGTTGGTGCCATCACCCCCAACAAATACAGTATAATTAGATGTAATTCGTGTTGGTCTCTCCCTCCAAGAGAGTGTTCGGTGACAGTTCACCGCTCTCAATCATCCAAACAACCCAACTCGTGGTGTTGAGCATTCTCAGCTCCGGGAGCCCTTCCGAGTCCTGCTAGAGGCCTTCGCATGCATTGGGCCGCCCTACTTTGGCCCTTGCCGAGGCCAGAGATGCTTAGACCGATGGTTTTTGGAGACGTTTCAGCCTTACGAAACCTCCCCAAACTCGTTGCGACGGCTCACGGAACTCAATGGGCGGAACAAATCAGGTTCCCGTCCACCAGCAGAAACAGGTTTGTCCCCCGGCTCAACGTGACCAATTCAGGTAGATGGTGGAATTCAGATCTTGTCACTCTCCGCAGAATCCACGATTCCTTCAGAAAAAGAACTGCCACTGCCCATTCTATCCAAGTCAACTGCTGTTAATTCTCCCTTCTCTTAGCTCTTGTTTGTTGTTTCAAGCAAACAAAGAAACTGGATGAACATGGATGAAAATGGGGGATGGTGGAGGTCCTCCCGGCTGTCTGCGACTTCTTCATTCTACCCTCTTTGCAACCTGGAGCCAGTGCTCGAAGTCTCGGATGGCCAAAAGGTTCTCTTCCTGCATCATGGATGCTCGAGCAGGGACGATTCCACGCGGGTCGTCGTGGCTACACAGGATACCCAGATCAAGACGCGGGTCGTCCGTCAGGTGACCTGCAAGTGGAGTAACCAGTCCCCTGCGATTCTGAGCTCCGAAGTCATTGCCAACATTGCCAACTACTCGTGGCAGCTCAAATTGTCTCAGCCAAATCTGCCGAGATTGGTACAAAAAAAAAAGTGATGGACAAAATCTTCTGCGACCTCTGGGACCTCTTTAAAGGATCCTCAGCGGGCCAAAATGACCTCAAACAACCTCTGTCCGTTCTGAACCACCCAGAAGGGCCCGAAACCCCGCCCCGAAGGGCGGCCGAAAACGTCACGAGCCGAGTCTCGTCCGTCACGAGTCACCACTGCCTTGAAGCGATTTGAATTGATGTCAAAAACGGGGTCCTTCTAGTTCTTTGAGGTTTGAACCCTTCACAGACCATGAACAGTGAGATGAATATATCAGAACATTATATAGAATTATATAGAACATGGGATGAACTCTACTGCTCCCGCCGGGAACTTCCGCCGCGACTTCGCCGAAAAGAACTCGTAGTTTGATCCGACTTGGGTGGTTTGAGGGAGGTATGTTGCGCCTCCAGCAAATTCCCATTTTCTTTGTAGTAGACGATGTTGAAGACATTGTGCCTGGAACGTAACAATGGGGGGTGGCAGCGGTGATTGGTGACACACCCGAATTTGATTGATACCAATCCAAACTGTCGGATCGCAGCCAACAACACACGTAAAGACACTTTAGGTTCATTGTCAGCAGAAGAAAATCAAGCAAAACCAATCCTATATAATGTTGAATTAGCAGTAATGAACCATGAGTCAATAATAATCAGCGTTTTTGGCCTGCCAGGATTTTACAATGTACTTTTATATAATTTAGCCAACATCCAGACCCCAAAATGGATTTTTTTTGTGCGAAACAATTATAAACATGAGACAATCAGCTTTCTTCTCTCAGATCCCAATTTGCCTTAGGGGGAGGGGGGTTACTATTGCTAATTGAACATCATAATACATAATCCTAACAAACCTAACAAAGGTCAACAGGATCTGAGAATCCCAAGTCCGTTTGTGCACCTCCAGCTTTTCTCCTGAAGCCTTCGGCCTGCAGGGAGGAAGGCTTCACATTGAATCCTCCCATCTGTGGAAGCGCATTCGGTGCGAAGTATTGGGATGTACCATCCGACTCATTGACATGGAAGGGGAACCCACCCCGTTTCTTTAAAGGAAAAGAACACATCTTCTTCCCGAAGACCTTTGCTTTCCGTCCTTTGGTGCCATTTTGTTCGACCATGGACATCCGACATGGAACCCATCTTCAACTCTGGAGGTGTCATCGGCTATTTCGGGGGGCAGGCCAGGAGGCTACTTCCGATTTTCAAAGTAGGCCTCCACTATTCTGAGCCCATGCTTGCGTCACAGCATCAAAGCGCCTCAGTCATGCGTGCGTCCAGCTCTACAAAAAGAACGAACGGAACAACCGAGTGTGGTGTACGTCCTGCTAAGTGAACTTAGCTGGTGGACTTTGGTGAGCGGAATACAGCATAATACAGCTAGTGAGCGCATCGATCTGCTCCGATTCCATGTCCGATGTACATCGCTGAAGGCGTTCAACTCCAACCATGACATGGTTCAACGCTCCGCTCCGTAGCTGCTCAGACTGAGCCACGGGCAAGGATGTATCGGTGCTGGCCCGAAGAAAATCAGCAAAGTCTGTGTTCAAGGCCTGGTCAAGTCGCAACATACTTGACTCTGTGGTACCCCAAACCTAAATGGTTCAGAGACCCAAGTCACACACGGGAAACTAACTATACTAAGTCGAAAGAACAAAAACTCCCTTGACATGCGATGGTCGTTCCCTTTGAGGAATATGATGCCAGCTCCCTTGACTGCTCCATTTGCAAAACCATGAAAGACCCACAAGGACCCACTGACGAAAAACAAGCACAGTATATAACTGATCCACTGAGGACATCCGAAATCTAGACTTCTGCGATCAAAGAAGAGCTTGGGGGCGGGAGTCCGAGCGGCGGGCTGAGCGAAGTGATGCGCACTATCAGCGCGAAGTGATCCGAGTCCCGGACCCAACCATTGAACATTGATGCGCAAAGAATTGCGACGAGCATTTGCATCAGGAAGAAAAGGCCTGGCAGACGAGTGGCCGCGTTGATTCAGTTCCTCTTTTGTCCGGTCGGAGATCTACCCCATGGGTCGTCATGTCCTTTTGGCTTGGATTGAAGGCATATATGATCATATATGCAGCGTAAACATAGAGACCATTGACATCTATTGACATTTAGTAAGAAACAAACCTATAGGAACGAACCCATCCCATCCTCGGGCGCCACATCGGCAGCTTCCACCAACCGGGAGACATCCACCGGCAACCGATGTCAAGTGACAGCAGCAGCTTCCAGACGAGCACAGAAGCTTGGCTTAGAGGAGCTCGGCCCCGGCTTGGGGAAGACATGATCAGACATGGGTTTAGGGTTTAGGGTTAGGTGTTCACTGAAGTTGCATGAACCTGCATCTCCGCTGGTGTTCACCAAACTCGCCAGTGCTACACAGCGGACATCTGGCCTCGCAGGAAAACAAAATGCTAAGTGTCTTAACCCTGAAAAGACATTACATTGTTTTGGGATTTTCCTCATGATTCACCAGTCTGTCTTGCAATGGTGTGATTTTTTGCCATTCCGTGTCTCTCCTTCCAAAAGGATTCTTGCATGACATCTGAGGATAATATATGTTGTGAGTTCTGAGCCCTCCACCACATTGTGCAGATACCCAGCTGGACATCCTTTGATGTATGTGAGCCTGACACAAGTCCGAGCCACATCCGATCTTTGGACGAACTCTCAGGTTTTCTCTCACCAAGACAAACATACAAAACCCATAGATGTTGTCCAATCCTCCTATGTCTGCAGTGACCCTCAATCTCTTTGACCATCTTTGACCTGTGCTTCGTTCACAAAAGCCCTTCTTCTGCTCTTCTTCGATCATGCTGAGTAAAGGCGCATGGTCACATCTGGTCAATAGGAATCAGTCAAACTGACTCTCATGGCATGTTCGATTGTCACTTTGCGTGTCCACTAGCCACCTACCTTCTCGAGCCTGTTTCGTGAAAAGGGTCGCATGGGTCTTCGCTCCGGGCCACCACTTTAAGTGGTAGCGGAGCCCGGGGAAATCCCTGGGCTGTAGGTAGTTGCCATGGCCATGGAAATGGATGGAGATGTCGCGTGGCGCCCGCGACGCCGGCGGCCGCCGGCAGGTGGTGGCATGGGGGCAGCCGATGGGGCGGCTGCTGGAGCGGCGGATGGCGCTGAAGGCAGTGTGATGGGCGAGAGAAGGTCGGACACTACGGGTGGGCTCGCGGGAGATCGACTAGAACCTGTCCAGGGGTGGATCAGAGGATCCTTGGGAGACGGGACATCGTGACCCGTGGGCATCGGCCGCTGGTGTCTCGGAGTGGCTTAGCTGGGAGACCTCATGGCAGCCGACTGACAGGTGGTCTTCGTCGTGGGACTCGTGGTCGTCGGGCGGCCGTCATGAACCATGGGGTGCTTGGTCGTGGTCTTGGTCCTCATCGGATGCGGGTTGGTCTCAATATCATTGGGGTTCTCGGGTACCTGGTGGTTGGGATCAACGACATTGGGGACATTATCACGGTTATGATCCTTATCAAGGCGGAGGGCGGCATGAGGTTGGTCACGAAGGTGGGGATGAGCTCCAAGGGGAAACCATGAGTGGTGGCCATCGCTCGGGCGTGGGCGGGGGACAACAACATGTACATGAACCACATCACGCGAATGTTCCGGGCGACGATTCACGTGATCGAGGAGGTGATCTACGAGGGACTCCCCCTCGTGTGAAGCGTGAGCGCCTTGAGACCGTGGTGGAATGATCAGGCGGGCGCGTCCCTTGATGACAGTGCTGAAGCCTTTTGGCCACCAGGGCCCTGGGAGCATCACAAGATCAATGAAGGTGACACGGATGACGGAGAGCCCAATAGTCAGCACCGCTAAGGACTTGGACCTCTCAACCTCTTCTAAGGCTGCTCACCGCAAGATTCCAAGCACCTATCCACCGCCCTTCAGCGCCACTCCCAGCGAGAGCTATTTGGAGTGGAAACGAAGTGTGCAGTGCTGGATCGCTGGAGAAGGAGGTCAATTGCCAGAAGATGTCATTGGGCCTCGCTGTCTTTCGGTCCTCACAGGCCGGGCTAGTGTGATCGCGCGGCACCTGAGGGTTGATGAAGTTAACAAAGAGGGAGGGTTAGACCTTGTTTTCAAGGCCTTGGAGGCCTCACCCATGGTCAAGGAGTTAGATGGTCAGCGAGGTGAAAAGGCCCAACGAGAATTCCTTCGATGCCGACGGCAAGCCAGCGAGTCCATGGAGAGCTTCATCATGCGTGCGCAGGCTCAACGAGCTGTCATGGAGGAGGAAGACAGCACCTTTGCCGTCGGCGACCGGTTCTTGGTTGGATACATCTTGGATCATGCCGAACTGACGCTCAAGGATCGGGTGATGGTGTTGGCCGCTGCTCAGAATCAGATGACCAGCGACTCTATCTTTCCAGCTTTGAGGAGGATGGGACCCTTTCTGCAAGGCACAGTTCCGATCGGAAAAGGGGTCATTGATGCCCCCTTGCTACCAGAGCTTCAACCAGATCACAGCACCGCCGCGGGGAGAATGGGGGAAAAGAACACCGACGACCGTGGCACAGCTCCTCCTTCAAGGCCCATGTCGTGGAAGATGCCACCGGTTACAGCGGTGAGGAGGAAGAGCCTGATACCAGCTGGAGTTGGAGTTTGGGAGATGGTGACGCTGTCCCGCAAAAAAGTTGGAGGCAGCTACGCACGCTGCTATGGCGGCATACACCACATCCCAGGCGAAGCTCAAGGCCCTCAAGCAGGCTCGTGGCTATTTCCGTCGTCCTGAGCCTGCTGCTCAGCCCGATCGGAAGGAACGCCTGCGGAAGCTGATGGCGGAGAATCCATGTCGTGCCTGCGGCCAACTCGGGCACTGGAGCAAGGACCCAGAGTGTCCAAAGAATGCGAAGGGGTCCGCAGCCCTGACTTCATCCTCGAGCGCTTCCTTGGTTCTCCTGAGAGTGAACACGCAGCCATGTCGGCTGTCCTGGAGCAAATGCTCAAAGAACAAGCATCATCTACGCCTCGAGCATATAGGGTGTGTGCTGCTACTACGGGTGGGGGGGACTTTGTTTCATTGGTCAATGCTCCATCCAATGAGGATTTGTTGACAGCACGTATGGTCGTTGATTTGGGATGTCTTCGTACAGTCGCAGGCGTGCAATGGGTTGTGTCGGAGGCAGCAAGGTGTAAACAGTTGGGGCGGTTTGTGCAAGTGCAGCGGACCATGGACTATTTTCGTTTCGGTGACGGAGAAAGACGACCATCTCAGTATCGAGTGTTTTTGGAAGTAGGACTTTCTGGACATGTTGGAGTGTTGGCCATCAATGCAGTTGACTATCCATGTCCGCCGTTGCTTTCCAAGGGGGTTTGCAGTGCATTGGGCTTGCATCTAGACTGTGGTTCTGGGAAGTATGAGTTGACTAAACTGGGTGTGAAAGCACGTCATTTGGTCACATCTGTTGAGGGACATTTTCTCATTGCTATTGATGAGTTTCAGCCGTCGTGGCCGTGTTGGCAAACCTTGTTGAAGCAGGGACATCAACCCAAGTTGGTCCATGAAGAGGTACGAATGTTTGAGTTGCGACAAGGTGTGCCAGTGGGCAAGGGTGCAAAGAAGTCGGCGGCCAGCGCTCGTGGCTCAGTCGCAGCCCCGGATTTTGACAAGTCAGCCCCTGCCCTGTCGACCACTCCTCATCGAGCTCATGGCGACCGCCAGCCGGGCAGCGGCCACCAGACGGGCGCGCACTCGCCAGGAGCATCCTCCCATTGCTGTGGACGCCTCGTCGGTGGAGTCCTTCCCGGAAGCGGAACTGCCGGAGTGGGACGACGACGAGGAGTTGGAGATGGGCCACAAGATGGCAGCTGGGACTCGGCTCGATGCATCCATGGAGAGTCAAGTCAGCCAGAAGAAGAAGGGAGGCTTCAGTCACCAAGAATCCAGTCAAGACGGACAAGGTCTCCACCAACTCACGCAGCAAGAAGGAGCAGCGCTTGGAGGTGACGGGGGATCTGGCCGACTGGCCAACACTCGGGATGACTCGCAGCTACGATGCATGCATGAACGTCTCTTGGGTGATCCACGGACGCCTGGTGTGTCACAAGTGGAAGACCTTCTGCTGGATGCTTCGAGCTCGAGCCGCCTTCACTCACTACAATCAGAACTGGAAGCGCCATCCTCGTTGGTTGGCAAACATGCTGTCGAAGGAGCTGGCGGCAGTGTGGGGGCATCTGGGCGTGGCATCGCGAACCTTGAGCGGGCCGCGAGGGCCGCCCCTCCTCCGGTGATCCGTGTGAGCGAGGCATCAACTGAGATGGAAGCACATAGCAAGCGGCCATGGAGAAGGGGGCAAGTTCAGAAGCTAAAACACAGTATCAAACAGGTGCAACGAGCTATGGATCATTTGACTCTTGTTGCCAAGTCTTCTCAACCATGTTGGAAGGTGCTAGAGGTGTTTGGAGGGAGTGCAGCCTTGTCCCTGATAGCTCGTGAGACAGGACAATGGGTCGCCTTAGAACCAGTTGACCTCATTTATGGCACAGATTTATTATCGGCAAAAGAGCATCGCATCCTGTTTGAGCAACTTGATAGGTGGGAGCCTGATCTTGTGTGTTTGGAGCCTCCGTGTGGCCCGTGGTCCCCGTTACAAAACCTCAACGATCAGCAGGTGGTGGATTTCAAATGCAGTTTGCATATGCCTTTTTGGGATTTAGCAGCTCGTGTTTGGAAGAAACAAGATAGTGCAGGCCGTCTAGTTTTGCTGGAACAACCCTTATTGAGTGCTGCGTTGAAGTTGGACTGCATGCAATCTCGTTCCAATGTGCATCGAGCAGTGGTCGATCAATGTCGCTTTGGGCTGAAAGACCCTCAATCCGGGTTGTTGTACCGGAAACGCACAGCCCTTGATGTGAACAGCGAGATCTTCGCTGTGGCCCTGATGCGCAATGGCCGCTGCTGTCATGCCCCACGCGAACATCAATCCATAGAAGGCCAAACCACTTTAGATGGTCGGTCCGTCAGTCGATCCTTGGTGGCAGGCACATGGACTCCTCTTTTTGGCAAGCACATTTTGGCCTGTGCGGCCTTGGCACACGCCGCTTGTTGGGTCCAGTCCGTGAATGGCATCCGTGCCTTCGTGTCCGTCCCCGAGGGTGTGCACGAGGAGCCGGCGGGTTTCTTCTTGGAGGAGCCCTATGGTGAATCCGTGTGTGGTGCCTGCTATGAGCTCAGCGCCTTGTGGTGTTCCACCTGCAATCGAGGGTGGTGCGCAGGCTGTGTGGACGATCATGCTTGCTTTGTCACCGATACCGTCCGACAGACTGACGAGCACCTGGCCTATGCCCTCACTGACGAACCTGAGGAAGCCATCCTCGAGGATGACACGGCACCGCCCCTAGTCAAGGCGGACCTTGAAGTGGCTCGGCTGTTCCGACATCTTCAACAGAAAGAAGAAGAACGTAAGGGTGATTATGGGGGCATCGGTAGTCGCTATGGCTATGTTTCCTTTGGTGGGGTGAGCCTTCGAGTCAACAAAGCCATTCGCAATCAAGTAGCTAAGCTGCATGGCACCTTAGGTCACCCTTCGAATGACCGACTTGCTAGGATGTTGCACCTTCAAGGGGCTAAGAAGGAGGTGGTGCAAGCCGCTCGTGACTTGCGCTGTGAAGTATGTGCTCGTGTTCATCCACCACAGTCAGCACCGCAGTCAACAGCCACCAATCCGGAGCGCTTTAACGCCCATGTTTCAGGTGATTCCTTCTTCTTTTTGGACGCCAACCATGTTCGCTGGAGTGTGACTCATTTGGTGGATGCGTTTTGCTCTTTGCATACAGCACTTCTATCTAAGAACCCAGCGGCCAAGCACAGCTGTGAACTCTTGTTTGAACGCTGGGCGCTGGTGTATGGGCCCATGAAGAAGTTGTCGGTTGATGGTGGGCCAGAATTCCGAGGCCAGTTTGGTTCACTATGTCAGCTCTATGACATCCACCTTGACATCTTGCCTCCGGGAGCCAAGTGGAAGAATGGGTTGGCCGAGCGCCATGGGGGTTTGTTGAAATTGATGATGCTCAAGGTGGTGCATGAGCTGGTTTTCACTAGCGAACCTGATCTCCGCTATGCCTTGGCTATGTGTGTTCAGGCAAAGAACCGCCTCATGCGACGCTGTGGGAAGTCTCCAATCCAAGTGGTACAGGGGCGAGATGAGCCACTGCCTTCTTCCCTGGTGGCCCAGATCGACCGGGGTGAGATCAAGCACAGCACCAACAGTCGCGTCCTCGAGAGCGAGGAACAGGGGCGCATGGAGCGCATCCGACAAGAGGCGGCAGCAGCTTTCCACTGGCTGGACGCTCATGAACGCATTCGTATGGCCTTGCATAGTCGCTCTCGACCACCTCACCTTCGTGCTGATGCCTTGGTGCCCGGGACCGTGGTGTACTTCTTCAAACAGCCAGGGCAGTATCGACGAATGCAAGACTACGCAACTGCCTATCAAGGACCAGCAATCGTTGCGTGCGCTGATGGGCCCACCAAGTTGTGGGTCAGATACAAGGGCTCCGTGGTGCGCGTTGCCATTGAGAATGTCCGATTGGCCACACCGGAGGAGGAAATGAGCACGAGCTACATCCTCGGCGCCATGAAGGCCTTGGAAGAGGAGCTCACTGGACAACGACGTGCCCCTGGATATGAAGAAGAGGAAGAAGAAATGCAGGAAGGAGAACAGCCGGTGTCACCACCACCTCCTGGGCCTCTCGTTCTTCCTCCTGTCCAGGCTCCTGGTGGGGCGCCGCCCGAGATTGTCGATGAGGAGGGCACGGACGCGGCCGGGCCCCAGGAGTCAGGACAAGGAGATGGGGTTCAGGCGACGTTGATTCCTGAACCCAGCCCAGAGGTGGTGACCTTGGCCCGGCAGTCTGCGGATCAATGCCGCATGTTGGATGGGCTTCCTCCCAAGTTCCGAGCAGGACCTTATGATGATGTGCATCGCGCATCAGTGCCCAAGAAGATCACCTTCTTTGAGCAAGGAGGAAAGGAGGACACCTGGCAGGAGATTCCAGGAGTCAGTTGTCATCTGGTTCCGGACTTCAGCGATTTGGAGCTGAGACCAAGTGGCGCCAGCTTCATGAGGGTGTGACTGAAGCAACACAGCAATGTGTCCGTGAACGGGATGAGGGTGGTGAGGCACCTTTGAAGACCCCTCGCCTTGAGCATGACGTTCCTTCAGAACCGGGCTCATCCAATCTGGCACCTTTGATAGCTGAAGTCAAAATGGAACTTGAAAAGTGGGCTTTGAGCTCGGCAACTTCCCTTGAGGAGACAAACCGAACGAAGGCCATGATGGACGATTATGAAAAAGAAGCTCTATAGTTGGAACGGGAGCGGGGTCATCGCGCTGGTCCTGAACCTGGTCCCAGGGGTGAGATCTACTGGAAAGACATGACGCCGACAGAGCAGCGTTTGACAGTCCCTGCCCTGATCAAGGCGTTGGACATCCACTTCCAGTATAGTGCAGTGCAACCCGTGAAGCTCGACCAGGTTTTAGCCAAGGACACCACGCTGCAAAGTCGCTTCGTGATTGTGAATAAGAAGTGGATTCAGCGTGCCTTTGGTCCCAAGGGTCGGTTGTGCGTGGGGGGTCACTTGGATCCTCAAGCTGGGGAATATGAGACGTCATCACCAACAGCCCAGCTTCTTGGTCATCATCTTCTTTTAGTGATCACCGTCGCAAAATGCTGGCGAGGTCGTGGAGGAGACATCACCGCAGCCTTTTTGCAGGGTGAGCCCTTACCTCGAGAGAAACCCCTATACATCTGGTTTCCCCGGAAGTTGCCCGCTGAAGTACAGCAGTACTTGAATGACAAGTTGAAGGGGTTCCGCACCGATTTGGTGAAGGTCGTGAAGGGGGTTTTTTGGGCTCAACGAGTCACCACGGCTGTGGTACTTGGGTCTCCGTCGCCATTTGGTCGAACTTGGCTTCCGCGAGATGAAGCTTGCGCCTTGTGTCTTCACCTTGCATTTGGATGGTGCCTTGGAAGCTATGGCCACCGTGCATGTTGATGATGTGCTAGTGGCTGGTAGCCAGCGGACCGATGCTGTGTGGCAAGAACTGCAGCAACGGTTGACCTTTGGCAGCTGGACGGACACGATGACCGGGTTCAAGTTTTTGGTGCGGTTCATCACTCAGGATGAACACAGCTTCGAGATCACCACATCCATGAGCGAGTACTGCAACGACTTGCAGGAAGTGGCCTTGGAGAAGACAGCGCCTGAAGATCGGCCAATGACTCCGGAAGAAGTTAGTTCCTTGCGGACCATCGTGGGCAAGCTGAGTTGGGCGGCGAGACAAGGTCGCCCGGATGTTTTGTTCGGAGTCTCATTTTTGCAGCAGAGCATGAAGTCTCCGATGCTCAAACTTTTCAAATTAGCAAATGCCATTGCGCGAGTCCTGAGACAGGATTTGCCTCTTCGTTTTGTAGATCTTGGGTGTGATCTTTCAGAGGTGATCTTTGTGATATCCTCTGATGGTGCTTACGGCATTATGCCGGAGGGCAAATCGCAGCAAGGGTGGCTGGTGGGGTTGGCGCATCCTCGCATCAAAGAAGGAGCAGCCAAGATGAACTTGATTGAATGGCAGAGCACCGCATGCAAACGCGTGGTGCGATCGTCGATGGCCATTGAGGCCAGTGCTGCATCCTTAGCTTACGAACATGGAGAGTATGTTCGTGCCTTGTTTGGCGAGATCATGTTGGACAACTTCGCCATCAAGAGGTGGGGGCATTTCGTCCGCCTTTGGGAGATGTTGCTTGTCTTGGATGCCAAAACGGCCTTTGACACCTTGAAGTCCGACTCCCTGCCACAAGATAGACGCACTGCCTTGGACCTTCTCGCCTTGAAAGAATCCTTGCTCGATGATGCGAGCAACTCGTTTTGCCGATGGGTCCCTGGGCCACAGCAGTTGTCTGATGGATTGACGAAAGAAAAGGGGAACAAGATGCTTTCAGAGTTCATGGCAACCAATGAATGGTCGCTCAAAGAAGACACCATGTGGCAAGAACAAAGGGCCAGGCAACGCGAGAACCAACGGACCTACAAGGCCAAGTGGAAAACTGAGAGGGCCAATAGTGCCACCCCCGCAGAGGTGCCGGGTGAGTCAAACTGACTCTCATGGCATGTTCGATTGTCACTTTGCGTGTCCACTAGCCACCTACCTTCTCGAGCCTGTTTCGTGAAAAGGGTCGCATGGGTCTTCGCTCCGGGCCACCACTTTAAGTGAATCAGGTAATCAGGCCATACCAAACGCATCAAAAATTATCAAAAATTATCAAAATCGAGAAAATGAAAAGGTCTGAAGATGAAAGCAGTCACGGGATCTTGCTTCCTCACCCTTCCTTCCGCAAAAACACCAAACCTCTACTCACCTCCCATCCCCACCCCATCCGTTTACCCCCAAAACCCCCGATCTCGTCCGATCCAAGGCCCCGGGCGCCAAGCGTGGAAAGCCCACCTGGACCGGGTCGTGACGACGGTCGTCACCGCGGGCGCGGTCGCGGGCGCGCCGCTCGGAGCGGCGAAGTCGACACCTCGTGCTGGTCTGGCTCTGCGTCGATGTCCTGCGATCCGGGGGAAGACGAAGCACAGGGGGGTGACGGTGTGGCGGCGGTTGGTCACTTTGGTTCTCAGAAATCCCGGTGACATGGTGTGGCCACGTGGCCCTAAAGCCACGAGTAGCTGGTAGCCTTTTCCATGCCTGCATGATGAGATGCTTCCGGTAGAAGATTGAAACCTTGTAGTCTTCGCCAAACTCACCGCCTGTATAGGGGATCCCACACAGAAACTTCAAGACGGTGGAGCACAAAAAGAAATCCAGAAGAGCTTGCTCTCAACGCCTCATCATCATCCAACTCGGTGGAAGACCAAAGCATCTTCCCCACCACGGCGACCCACGGCGCCCGGATCGCCCGGACAACTGAGCACCGGACGGCATTGTTGCCTCTCCCACCCGACAAACCTGGGAGCTTCGGAGAGCTTCGGATCCCTTGAAAGGTCTGAAAACTCGGGGAAAAGGATGAAAAAGGGGACAAAGATGGACAAAGAGACATGGGATGGACATACTTCCAAATGGCTCTTCCCGTGGTCGGCGTAGTTGTACAGAATCTGCTTTGCAAACAAAGTGCAGAATCAGTGGTGTGAGTGTTTCTCATTTTGTTCCTCATAAACAGAGCGTTCCCAATGAAGCTGGCCCTGCCTTCATCTCCATCCATAACTGCTTTGCAGTCCTGGCATGTGTCAACACAAGCTTCTGAAATAGGAGTTGGAAGTTGGGAGGTCATTTTCACCGACTAGCACTGTGCTTTCTCCACTGCCTTCAAACAGATTGCTGCCCACTTCTATTCACTTCTTGACTTTTCGCATCCAAACACTCTGCAAACCTTCCTCTGCAGGATGCGCACCTCTCATCACATGCGAACCTTTCTGCGAATTCTCGTAACATCTCGTGACCTCTCGTGGAATATCCACCGTTGAGAAGCTGGAAAGGACGTTGCCCAAGAAATCCATTCATCTACAGTTATGATGTATCCAAAAAAACACATTTTGGGGGGGAATGGATGTCCAAAATCCAAAACAATCAATTCATCTATACTGTTCTATAATTACAGTATATTGCAGTAATCCAAATTTATCATAATCTATCCAAAAAAATAACGAATCTCTCTGACCCAACCTACCCACTTCGGAACCATCGCTCGGATTCGTTCCTCGGTCAGGTCCGCCGTCTGTGGGAGCTCCTGCCGCGGACTCGGGTGCTCACGGTGCTTTCGTCTCGAAACGTCCAACAAGAATATCGCAGGATCCAACGGATAAACAGTGTCCATTCTTGTTTGGATCTTGGTTCTTTACAGTGTCCATTCTTTCCAAGACGGACGAAAGGGCGGGTGCTTTAGACAGTGATTCTGAAATTCTTCTCTTTTTGGGGGTGCTCAGTGCTCGTGGCGTTCACACATGGTTGTTGCGTAAGTTGAGAGCAAACACGAAAAAAAGCTGAGCGATCTTCCCTCGCGAAAAAGGGAACAACTCTTGGTCTTCACAGCAAGCCAAACTCCTCAGCGACCCCGGTGCCATGGAGGCGACCGCTGAAGTGCTATTCAAGGATAGTCCTGTTGAGGAGTCTTTGTCACTTGATCTGTAGTTATGTCGTTGGCTTTGGCGTTAGTGGGGTGGGCTGTGTATGGCTGTGCTACGATGACTTGCCTTCTTCGCGGCGGTTTGTAGGGGTATCCAGCAGGTTTGTTGTTGTTTCCTAGGCGTCTCTCGAAGTACTCCCTTTCTGCACACCCATGTTGGCTCAACTGACTCAGCTGCCTCAGTGACGGGGCAGGGCAATGTATATCATTAGCTGGCCTTTGCAACTGGTATGAAACTGATTGATCCGAAATTCCGTGTGCGACATGTCACACATTTTTCGCACAGATCCAGCAAAGACTTGGATCTTGATCAGATCCAACAAGTCAGCAATCCCGGTCCACATCATCCAATCCATGAAGGATGAAAACCAGTATCACATGCCGTTGCATCCTATATATTTATGATTTTTCAGCAAACCCGTTGTGGGATCATGCATCCAGGCATCCAGGCAAAAATGGGACCTGACACAGACCCAAGACCAGAAATGCATCGTGCATAGCTATTGCTGCCCCACTCACTGCTATTTGCTGCCACAGACGGATACACTACGACCGAGAAAGCCATTTTTCCTCCCCTGCGCATGGCCAAACAATCTCAAGAATGCTCAGAAATGTTCTCAGGATATCTTCAATCAAAGAGGCAATGAGTGCGGGGGTCTCTATTCAAAGACTATGGCGGCTATGAATGAATATGATCACAGCGTGTCCAACTGGAGCCTGAGCATCAAAAAAAGGCTAAAGCACCACACACCCGGACCGACCGGGGCTTTCTCAGTGATCAGGCTTTGAGTAGATGGTATGAAGGTCACTCAGCCGGAAGAAGAGCTTGTCAAATCTTTTTGCAGGTTGCAACAAGTTATGCACTAAGCTGGATAAAGAGAGGAGAGCTACTGTACTACTGTTGTAGCAGTATAAAACTAGCAGTAACATACAAGAACTAGCAGATTAGCAGAACATCACTAACAGTTCTTCCAATCCGTTCCCTAACTGCTCTCAGATTTGTGTAAAAGGCGGTCACTTCTTAGCCTCAATAAATCGAGCGGTGTTTGGCAACAAAACGAGACCGGCATCGATTTCATGTGATGTCTCGTTCTTGACCAAATCCAGACCACCTCCAAAAGGTGCAAGAGTTGAAGGAGTTGCTGGTCTGAATCCAAAATTATGCTTTCTATCTAAGAGAGCTTGGGACATTTGGGAAACCCCCAACTTTGGATCAACGATGCGCCGTTCTCTTACCGGAAGCATCTCTGTTTGTTCTCTCACCATTTTCTTTTGCTCGGCCGATCTCACCCTGGCTGAGCAGCACACAGGAATCGCTGTGCTGGCTCCACCTCCAAGCTGTTTCGCTTTCTCGAAGGAGTCCTTGAGGCCAGGAGAGACCTGTTCAGCCAGCGCCAACATGCGCCAACTATTTGTTAGTCAGCCCTCTCCTGTTGGTGCAACCGGCCCAAACAGGCATTCAAGCAAAAACAAGAAACGGCCTAGTTTCTTGTTGCTTCCTCCATCTGCGTTTCAGTACAGTATCTTAAGCGTATCCAAAAGCTGTGTCGTCGCACACTGGAGCAAGCTTTTAACACCTTCTACCATAAACCGCGCCTGCGCCGCCAGCCCAGGATACTTGACCTCCGATGCTTCATCGATGCCGATGGTTTCATCATCTTCATCGATGCATGCGTTTGTGGCGATTGTAAGATTACCATAGATGACCCCTCCTTAACAGGATAATACGGCGCTTCAAAATCTAGAACCCCCCCCACACACAAGACATCACCTGCAACAGGGTTGGATATTGCGGTAAACTTGCATCAGCTCCAATTCTCTTTTCGGAAGTGTGTCTAATCAGAAATGCATGGAAAGGGCATCATGAGAGTGGAAGTCCGCCCCAAAGGGCCATGTGCCGCAGGTGCCTCTGCCAACTCGATCAAGGTGCCCTGAACATCCTGGCACGTCTGCACTGATCTGTACTGCTTTGGGGTGGGAAAACGACAAGCTCTTTAAGCAACATGACTGCACTCCACTTTGTTTCATTTAAATCTTGATCGACTGGTCTCTGGTTCTGTTGTTCTAACTTGGAAAAAGAACTAAAAAGCCTTTGATCTGGGACCGAAACATCAGTTGTTCCAGCAGCTAGATCCCTACCAAATGCTGACTCGCTCCGGCTGTCTAAAGTGATTGAAGGGTGATTCGTCAGCCCAAGAGGCAAGACCAGGGCAACCCCCCAAAAGAACACCGGAAAAGTGAAAACCATGTGGAAAAAAAACTGAAAATAAAAAAAGAAACAATCAGTCCACGGCAGTCCATGGGGATTCATGGGGATGGTTCCAGAATCCAAAAAGAAACGATCCATGACGATCCATGGATCGGTCCTTCTGTCCAGGGATCGGGCGGCATGCGCTGACCTGGCGGACTGGCGCTGGAATCGACGAACGAGGACGAGCCGCATTGGTGGATGTCATCCCCAACGTAATCGGATTCTTTTGATCCTCATTGGGATTGATTCAGATTGATCGTAAAGGTTTGTCCCCAAAAAAACACAAAACCAAGCAAAGCCCTTCGCTCGGACCCCAAAACCGAGTTGATTCAAGTTGACATGATCTCTGCGTTTTTCAGCCAGAGGCCTTGGCGCCTTGGCTTGCCCAAGCTCGCCACTTCTTGGGCCTCCCGGCATCCACGCTCTTGGGCATCTCGTAGGGCCCACCCACGGGGAGCTTGGCCACTTCGGTGCGGGCGGCCTCGATCAGCCGAAATGCTCCGCGACGACGGACCGGAAGCGTTGGGGATCCGGTGCGCGGAGCCCGGACGGTGAAGTCGATGTGAAGTCGAGACTTCTGAGGTCGGAGTCGTCTTTTTAGTACTAATTAATGGTCTGCTTTAGATAGAAAATCCTGGATCGCAGGATCTTCCACAACGTCAGGAATCAGACCCCGTTCATACCAGTTCCATCAATCCATCAACGAATACCAAATATCAAAAAAAAGTATATTAGTCAATGTGATGTGAAGCCTTCTGCTGTTTTCCCTGATCTTCATTGTAGTTCTAAGATCCAATAGATTTGTGTTGAGCAATGGCAGCCATACATGACCAATCATCAAAAAAGGTTTTTGTGAAAAAAATGAAAGTGCAAAAACAGTGCAATTTGCGTTGTTTTGGCATTTGTTTTTTCCTGGTACCACTTCTGCACTTATGAGAACTTTTACCCGTCAGCAAGATTTGCTGTACGTTCCTAGAAAAAAAACGAAAAAACAAAACAAATGCGAAAATAAAGCGAAAAAATGCGAAAATAAAACGAAAAAATGCGACAGAACGGGTGCTCCTGGGAGATGTTTTTGGTGTCACGCCCACTCGCGACCCGCAGCGGCGCGCGCGTTTGGTGGAAATCATATTTCGGTTGTTGGGGGGGGGGGGGGGGGGGGGGGGGGGGTTCAGTTACGTCGTTCAGTTACGTCGTTCACGGAACGTCGTCACGGAAACCAGCGGGTTCAGTTACGTCGATACGTCGTCGTGGATACGTGTCCCTTCGTTGTTGTGTGTCTTTGTGTGTTGTGATTCTTCTTCGTTTGACTCGTCGTGACTCGTCTTTTGTCTTTCCGTCTTCGTTGTTTTTTTTCGCGTGGACATTTTTTACTTGGACAGTTTGCTGGACCTGGCGACGTCGGTCAAGGATTCACTAGGTGTAGCCGCGCTCGACATTTGTTTAGATCCGGACCGGTGGGTTTTAGATTTCGATTCTCTCGAGGTGTACGGTGAATTTTTGTGGTTGTGTTGGGTGTCCGTGTGGGACCAATTCAACAGACAATCGTTCGTACCACCTACGGTCACGGCCGCGTTGTTTGTTTTGAGTCGGCGACTTCTTCGTTTTCGCGACTTGTCGGTGGCTGCCATGCCGGAATGTCTGGCTGATACGGTGCGTTCAACGGGTCGCACACCGTCTCCCAAGCGATCTTCCTCAGAAGAGCTTTGGAAGCACGGAGTATTGATGTCGTGGCTCTATTTTTTTAGCACTGACAAGTACTACGGGGAGATTCGATTGATGAAAACGAAACATTTTTTCGGAGAGTCTCGGAAATGTTACCTCCCTG